GACACTTCCTCCTCCCTCTGACTGTTCTTTCTCAGGCTTCTCCTCAGCCTTCTCCTCCTCTTCAGGACACTCTGTAAACGTTGATTTTCTCAGGATCCCAGCTTCAGCCTCCTCTTCTCACTCTCCATGTTATTCACTGGTGACTCCAGTCACTACTGGGACTTTCATTACCCCTTAATTGCTCATCACTCTCAGATCTCTGTCTCCACATGCAGACTTGGTGTCTGTCCAACTGCAGACTGAACGTCTCCACCTACATGTTCATGGACAGTGGTGCACTGGAGTCAGCTCGTGCTAGCTTGGACCAGCTCGCAGGAGGCCATTGCTGACTTTATTCAACTCCTTATTCAATGACGTCATGTTGATAGTAGTGACTTGTAATCGTTGTGGTGAGAGTATTTACACCATGGAAGTCAGCAAACGCTTCAGATCGAAATTCCCCTTTCCCGAAAAGATAATTGTTAAAACAGTGACTGCACATCCCTGTTTACAGATGTCTCACATTCAACATATTCAAAACTAAAGTAATCCTCTTCCACCCCACCCCATCCTACCCAACCCTACTTCTCCTCTGAATCTCTTGGCCCAGTTAACAGCACCACCATCTGCCCAGGAGCTTCTCACCCCCTCATTCCCCATATCCAAAAGATGGTCAGTTAGTTAGGCTATAGTCCAAGCTGCTAGAACAAAGAGTCCCCAAAATTCAGTGGCTTAAGTGACAACCCCAGAATAGATCCTCCAGGACTGTGGGGCATCTCAGCCATCCTCAACCTGTGGCCTCCATCTCTGTGTCCAATGTGGCCCAGGCATTTCCCACTATTGTATCTGAATCCATCTCTTGGGAAGGGGGGTGGCATGGAAGCATGAGTTCTTTCCTGTTTAAGGACACCACTAACTTCTATTCAGAAGTTGGCCAGATGCAAGGAAGGCTGGGAAATGTAGTCTGTAGCCATATACCCAGTTAAAACATTGTTCATAAACAAAGAAGGGGACTTCCCTGGTGGCACAGTGGTTAAGAATCTGCTGCCATTGCAGGGGACGTAGGTTCAGTCCCTGGTCTGGGAAGATCCCACATGCCGCGGAGCAACTAAGCCTGTGCGCTGCAACTACAGAGCCTGTGCTATAGAGCCTGCGAGCCACAACTACTGAAGCCTACACGCCTAGGGCCCGTGCTCCACAGTAAGAGAAGCCACTGCAATGAGAAGTCCACGCACCGCAATGAAGAGTAGCCCCCGCTCGCCACAACTAGAGAAAGCCCGCGCGCAGCAACAAAGACCCAACGCAGCCAAAAATAACTAAAATAAATAAACTTATTTAGAAAAAAAAAGAAAGGAGGGAGATGGCTATTGATGTAAGGCTAGCAGTCTACGTCATCAGTGAATACATCTTGTCAGTGCTACCTCTCCAATATTACTTAAATCTATCCGTTCTACTGTACGCCAGCTGCTATTACCTTGGTTCTTGCCTATTTCCTGGCCTTTCAGGATAGTCCCTCTCTAATCAACCTACCAAATAGCTTCCAGGAGGTATCTTTCTAAAATGCAAGTTGGATCATATAACTTTGCTGTTCAAAACCATGCAGTAGTTCCCCACTGACTCCATGACAAAGGCCAAACTTCTTTGCAAGACAGAGAGGCTGGGTCTTTTCCCCTCTATTAAGAATGCCTTCCACCCCCCATTCCAATTCTGCTTCCTGTCAGCTGGGAAATTTTTCATTTTCTCAGTCTTAGTTTAAATATTGCTTCCCTAACTACGTCACTGTTTGTGCCCCACTGCAGTGCTGGCTCCGTGCCTATTGCAGTCTTTACTGGACTTTCTTTCTGGGCACTTGCCACCTGCACTAGGGGCTCCCTGGGAAGCCAGGGCACTTGGCTTGTCTGGAAGAGGTCTCGGTGAGAGCTCACCAAGCAATGAATAGACACAAATAAGATGCCAAATCCTATCCAAGGTGTGGGGTCTGGGGGTCATGGTCCTACCACCTTCAATGTCATTACCAGGTGCTCAGGTTTGGCTAGTGTGAGAACCTCCAGATGACTTTATTGAGCTAATTGTTTAATCATCCATCTTCTAGAATAGACATTAAACTCAGTGAGAGTCACATCAAGTTATATGAGCCATTTTATTCCCAGTGCCTATCAGGCACCTGGAGAACATCTATGAAATGAATAGAAGTATGGCAACATTTTCCCCAGGACCAATACTCTTCACATGCCACAGTTCAAATCTCAGCTGTCCCTTACCAGCTGAGTGAACTTGGGCCAGTCGTTTACCTCTCCATGCTTCTGTTTCCCTTGCAAAATGGAGATGATGATCGGGTCATTATGAGGACTAAATTACTTAATATTTGTAAAGCATTTATACAGTGCCTGGCACATAGCAGATGCTTTGTGTTTGCTAAGTAAAAACAGGGTTCAGGCATAAACGAGTCAGTCTTTTTTTCTTTTTTTTTGCGGTACGCGGGCCTCTCACTGTTGTGGCCTCTCCCGTTGCGGAGCACAGGCTCCGGACGCGCAGGCTCAGTGGCCATGGCTCACGGGCCCAGCCGCTCCGCCGCGTGTGGGATCTTCCCGGACCGGGGCACGAAGCCGTGTCCCCTGCATCAGCAGTCAGACTCTCAACCACTGCGCCACCAGGGAAGCCTAACGAGTCAGTCTTTGACTATTTTTCTAGTTTCATCTTCCCCTGACGCTGGTCTCTGCCACCAGCTCATCTCCAACTCTCCTATTTCCACATATGGACCTTTGCTCACACTGTTCTCTGGGTGGAGGACCTTCCCCACCTTGTTCACCAGTGACCCCTATTTATCCTTCACAATTCAAACTTCACTTTTAGAAGCCTCCCTGGACTCTCAGAGACAGGTAGCCCCTCCCTCCTCTGGGACTCCATTTCACCCCACTTTCATGCATGTCTGAGCTCCCCACTGCACCAAGACTCCTTGAGAGCAGGGATATATCTTATGCACCTTAGTATTCCCGTACTTTGTACAATGCCTGGCACACCGTAGGCATAAAAGATGTTTGTTGAATCAATGAATGGATGAATGAAATATATTAATAAACTTTACCTTAACCACTTCCATCATGCAATAGCATATCATGTCAGATCCTATGACAAATGGAAATTGGCCACAGTTGTCTGGGCGGTAAATCAAGTCTAGTCGGTAGTTCGCTGACTTTAGCTTTTCTACCAACCATGAGAGGAAAAATCATTTTACCAGATAGACTACAGATTTCTATGAATAAATGGATAATAATTTTAAAGCCTCAAAAATGCCCTAGGGATTTTCTTAAGACCCAGTGTTTGCTGAATAGCCCTGTGTGCCCAGCTCTTAGCCAGGAACTTGATTCTTGAGTCCTCACCACCACCTGTCCTACGAATGGGGACAGTGAAGCTTGCAGAGGGACATAGAGGTGTTATGAAACAAGGTCATCTGTCAACTGGCTGATGAGAGATGTGAGTTCTAGTCCTGGCTCTGCCCCAGTGGGCTGTGTGACCCAAGACAGGGCCCTGCTTCTATCTGGGGAAATCCCTATAAAATCTAGGAGTTGTATCCAGGATCAGTAAGGTTTCCCCTGACTGGGGTAGTTTCTGAATCTGAGATCCTGACTGGGATGGGGGAGGGGATAGTGGGAATTGACAAGGTGAATTTACAAGGGAAGTGAAGCAACATTATTCAATGTCAACAAAAAGGAGAGGTGCAGACCATGAATAGAATCATTTTCCCCTCCAGTGTTCTCCTTTAATTCTCACCTCAGCATTTTGAAAGATGAAGAAATGAGGCGCTGAGAGGTTAAGGGGCTGTTCCAATTCATCCAGGCCTCAATTTATAGAGGACAATGGCTGACCTAGGCTCACGCTGGGATATTTCTGTTTCCCAACTCCTGAATCAGCTCACCCCTCCCACTGAAGCCTCCAGTCTGGGGAGCCAGGCCTGGGCTCAGAACCACCCCTGGGCATGTGAAATGCCACTGTCGCCAGTGGGTAACGGATGAACCAGCTCAAACCATCTGTCCTTTGGCTAAGGAAGGGTGGAGTCCCTTACAGAATGAGTATCTGATGAGCTGAGAACCTTCAGGGGTATTCGGCCGGCCATCACACAGAACACTCTTCCAATGCTATCTCTGGTCTTATTGCCCCCCACCCCTAAACAAGTAGGTGGGAGTGCCCCCAACACATGCACATATGCATATGCACACGAATGCTGACACACTCACATACATACAGGCACACACCTACCCATATGCTCACATAAGAGTCTCTCAACTGAGCCAGGCTGTCAGAGCCACTCCTTCACCTTCTCTTTCAAAACTGCTGTGGAGATGGCCTCATGCCAGGAGCCAAGAAGGACCTAGGAGCCTATGAGGGGAAAATCTACTTGCTTGATAAATAACTCCTGAGAAGAACAGATGAAAAGAGAGGGAGAGGGAAAGGAAACTAAAGCTGGTTTAGCTGAGCGCCACGTGTGAACGTGTGTACATGTGCATAAACGTGTGTATGTATAAGGCCCAGGCACCAGAGGACCAGCGAGGAAAAGAGGGACCATCAGAAAGACAAGGGTGGCAAGAAACAGGGAGAAAATGGAGACAACCCCTTCCCGTACCTCTCCCTCTCCTTCCCTACCCTCCCTCTCCCAGTGATTTCATTCAGTCCTGGGTATGGCAGAACCTTGCTCAGGAGCCTGAGAATGGACGCGTCTCGGAGACGATGGCGCCCTTTTCTAGACCCCATTTTAAAAAGTAAGGGAGCAGAGGCCCCCCGTCAGTCACCCTACAGACTCCGAATGGACAAGGTCTCCATCTCTTGCGTACTCCTGCTCTCTGCCAACCTATCCCTTAGGGCCGGCCTCGAGGTCCTTGCTAACCCCCTCCCCGGCGCCTAAGGTTGAGGTGTCTGCCCCTTTAAAGCAGCGGCCCCCTGCCGGGTTATTGTCTGGCTTCTCAGCCTATCGGCGGCGCCGTTGGGGGCGGGGAACCTGGCCTCCCGATTGGCCGCCCCGCGCCCCGCCCCGCCCGGGGTCCCGGGAGCTGTCCGGCAGCCTCGGTGCTGATCCCGCCGCTGCCCACGGGCCGCGAGCAGCGCTGAGAGGGCACTATGAGCGGGGGCGTCTACGGCGGAGGTGAGCGAGCCTCGGGCTTCGGGCTCTCCAGCCTGGCGCGGCCTCGCCCGAATCCCAGCGCCCCGAACCCGCGAGACCCAAGCTCTGGGCACCCTGGGGCCTGGCACCTCGGCGCTCGAGCAGGTCTAGCCCCTGGTTTGTGTCCTGCGCCACTCCCACCTTCGACCCCCGCCCCCGGACGTTCGCGCGCACCGGGCCCAACCTCTCTACCATTCAACCCACCACCGCCCGGCCCCCAGCCCAGCAAGGAGAGTGGCCTGAAAACGGCCACTGAGCAGAAAGGGACTTTGGGGTCTTGACCCCCACTCCCAGGACCCTAAACTGTTGGCCGAGCTCCCACCCGCACCGTCTGGCGTTGAAGGTGGCTCTGCCCTGACCTCCTTTCGGAACAATCCAAGAGGAGAGAGTTTGGGAGAGATCCCCTCACAAGTCTGTCTCCCCGCACAGATGAGGTGGGGGCGCTGGTCTTTGACATTGGCTCCTTCTCAGTCCGCGCTGGGTACGCTGGGGAGGACTGCCCCAAGGTGAGCCTTCCAGCCCCCTCCCCAAAACCTAGGGCTCCCCTCCAGGCTTCCCAGTGATCCAGGGCTCTCGGAGCCCAGAGAGAAGCTTTGCTGAGTGGGAATGAGGGAGTAAACCCAGGGGTGGGCTGAGGGCCCTGCCATGGGCCTGGAACCGGGCAAGAGATTGATTTCTCTCCGCCCATGCCCCCCCTCCAGGCTGACTTTCCCACCACAGTGGGGCTGCTGGCCGCGGAGGAGGGGGGCGGGCTGGAGTTGGAGGGGGAGAAGGAGAAGAAAGGGAAGATCTTTCACATCGACACCAATGCCCTCCACGTGCCTCGGGATGGAGCGGAGGTCATGTCACCCCTCAAGAATGGCATGAGTACGGGGCCCCCACCCACTGCCTCCTGACACAGACTCAGAGCCCACACCCAACAACCTGGGGCACAGCACCCCACATCCACAGAGTCTTCCTTGCAGCGGCCCAAGTCCCAGGGATGCCCTCACTTCTTCCCACAGCTGCCTGGTTCCTAACCAGGGGCCACCAGATTCCTGGGAAGGGGGGACTTCTGCTGGAGCTTGTCTTATTTCCCCTCCCCCGGATTTTCCTTCCCTCCTTCCTTTCCTTCCTGTCCCTGGACTCCTGCCTGCCCACCCTCATCTCTCCACTGGTCTCCTGGCCCCAGTTGAGGACTGGGAGTGCTTCCGTGCGATCCTGGATCACACCTACAGCAAACACGTCAAGTCTGAGCCAAATCTACACCCAGTGCTCATGTCCGAGGCCCCGGTAAGTGCCTCATCCAGCTGCTAGTCAAGCCCTGGGGCCCACCATTCACCTCTCTCTTCAAGCCATCACTCACTCCACTTCGCTTTTCAAACTTTCCTTCCAACTCCATCATCTTCAACCACTTTCCTTCCTCCCTGGTTTAGTCTCCACGCCTCCCTCTCTCCTCCAGCTCTATCCACTTGCCCTTCCCGCAGTCAACCTTATACACTGCCCCACCACCCCAAGTCCTTTTATGACCTTTTAACTTACATTCTTTGTCAATATTATATATACATGTAAAGGATCAATTTGTTTTATAAAGTATGTTAAGAAAAAAAATGCCATTCATAGCCTTCTCCTTCTATTGCCCCTTTTCCAGAGGCAATTGCTCTTCTCTCTTTTAGCTTTTTTTTTTTTGCTATTACCTTTTTAAAAAATATTTATTTATTATTATTTCTTAATGAATTTATTTATTTTTGGCTGCGTTGGGTCTTTGTTGCTGCGTGCAGGCTTTCTCTAGTTGCAGCGAGTGGGGGCTACTCTCTGTTGCAGTGCGCAGGCTTCTTGCGGTGGCTTCTCTTGTTGCGGAGCGTAGGCTCTAGGTGCGTGGACTCAGTAGTTGTGGCTCACGGGCTCTAGAGTGCAGGCTCAGTAGTTGCGGCACACGGGTTTAGTTGCTCCACGGCATGTGGGATCTTCCCGGACCAGGGCTCGAACCTGTGTCCCCTGCATTGGCAGGTGGATTCTTAACCACTGTGCCATCAGGGAAGCCCCTGTTTATTTATTTATTTATTTTTTTTGGCTGCGTTGGATCTTAGTTGCGGCTTGCTGGATCTTTCATTGCGGCACGGGCTCTTCGCTGTGGCCCACAGGTTCCCTCTAGTTGTGGTGTGCGTATTTTCTCTCTCTCGTTGTGGCATGCAGGCTCCAGGGCGCATGGGCTCTCTAGTTGAAGCGCGTGGGCTTGTTTGCCCTGCAGCATGTGGGATCTTAGTTCCAAGACCAGGGATCGAACCCATGTGCCCTGCATTGTAAGGCAGATTCTTTACCACTGGACCACCAGGAAGTCCCGCCATTACCTTTTATATCTCTAAATATCACACTTAAATTGCTGATTGTGAATTTTTTAGCTTTAAACATTATCTGTGGATCTCCCACTATAGAAAATGAGCATTTGGCTCTCTTTCCTCCCCAGCCCACGCTACACACATTTCTTATTTCTTACCTGAAGTACAGTTGTAGTTTAGGGTTTTGGGTTTTTTTAAGATCAATATTCAGTATTTACACTCTTATTATTATGTATGCTAATCAGGCCTGAACCAGGCAATAAACTGTGGTTTATTTTCCTTTCCTGTGCAACTTTTTGTTTTCTCTAGCACTGAAAATTGTCTTGGTTCTGTTTTCCTTAGTTTTTCTATCTACTTAATAATGTGGCCCTAAATTATTCGTCAGTTATCTATATCTTTTCTCAAGACATTAATTCCTTAAGGTGTTCTATCAATTTCATCTTCAAGAAATCTCCTCAGGAGCCCACTGACCTGCTCTACTTTGGACTAGTTACCTTCTACGCAGAAGATGTAGCTATCATCCTGACATCTCCCTTCACCATCATCTTAAGGAAACACTTTGCCCCTCTCCTGTATTAGAAGTCCTGTTTCCTGTATCACATGACTCCTTTTCTTTATTTTCTTCCTTGTTTTCATGGGGCACATCTTCCACTAACTGCCTTAGAAAGGTCATAAGAAGTAACATTTTTGAGACCTTGCATGTCTAACCTTGGATTGATAGTTTAGCTAGGTATAACACTCCAGGTTGGAAATCATTTTTCTTTGGAATCTTGAAGGCACTTCTCCAATATCTTCTAGCATCTACTGTTACTATCAAGAAGGCCAAAAACATTTATTTCCTGATCCTTTGGTGTAACTTATTTTTCTTTCTTAGAGTTTATAAAATTTTCACTTTGTCCTCAGTGTTTTACAATTTCACAACATTATATGGGTTTATGTTTGTCCGTGGCTCTGGACACCCAATGTGTCACTTTATTTTGGAAACCTATGTCTTTCAACTCAGTGAAAAAATTTTAATTACTTATTTGATGATTTATTTCTTTCAATTTTCTCTATTCTCTCTTTTGAGAAATCCTATTATTTGGATTTTGTACCTCCTGAACTGGTCTCCTAATGTTCTCATCTTTTCTGTTATGTTTTCCATCTCTTTATCTTTTTCCTCTTATTTCCAAGATATTCCCTCAATTTGTTTTTCACCTCTTCTATTGAGTTTTTTGTTTTTTTGGGTTGTTTTTGTATTTTTGCTGTACACGGGCCTCTCACTGTTGTGGCCTCTCCCGTTGCGGAGCACTGCCTCTGGACGTGCAGGCTCAGCGGCCATGGCTCACAGGCCTAGCCGCTCCGCGGCATGTGGGATCTTCCCGGACCGGGGCACGAACCTGCATCCCCTGCATCGTCAGGCAGACTCTTAACCACTGAGCCACCAGGGAAGCCCCTATTGAGTTTTTAACTCATTCCTGCTCCTGTATTTTTATTTCCCGGGAGGTCTTTATTATTCCATGAATGTTACTCTTTAGAGCATCCTATTCTTATTTCATGGGTGCAATATTATTTGTTATCTCACAGGGATATTATTAGTTTTGTCTTTGGAAGTTTTCGTCTCCTTGTATACTTATTGTTCTTCCAAGTTGCTTTTTTTCCCTGCCCTTTTTTGGGAGTCTTTATCTCATTTCCTAGGTTTTTCTCAGATTTCCACAAATCCTTGGTTGTCTGCATATGTTTAGGAATGGGGGACTAAAAAGCTGATTGGGCAGTGTGACTTGCTGACTGCAATCTTTGTTATAGGATGGTCTGACTAGGATGTTGCATCTTTAGATCTTTGATGTAACTCACAGGGAAGACTTCCAACCTGAAGACAGGACTGCCCAACCCCTTGCTGGAAGCCAAGTGAGCAAATAGGGCTGATGTTATCAGCATTCAATATGCATGGCATCACTTAATTCCCCTCTTTTAAGTATAGTGTCCTCACTCCCAACAGTGACAAGTGTCCCACCAGTTCAGAGACCCTCAGTTTTACTCTCTCCAGAGAATAAATTTCCACTCTTCTGCTGAGGTTGGAGTGGGCAATAGCCTAGTGCCATGGAATTAGGATGAGAGTTTAGGGATCTGTTACTTGAATAGCTTTAAACAATCTTATTTTATTTCCCCTTTCCTTCCACTTCCAGAGCTACCTGAAACTACCAATTCCCAATCCCTGTGAGGATTCTGCCATTTAGCACAGGCTGTTGTTGGCTTTTTCCACTACCAGTTTAGGAGTCAGCATTCTTGAATCTGTTAAGTCAGTTACTGCTCACCTAACTGATTTCCAACCTTCAAAAATTTGTTGCTGTTTTCTCATTTCTTGTTCTTCTCAAGCTTTAAGGGTTTATGCCTCGCTGTCTCTCTCTCAGGTAAAATTCGCATGACATAAAATTAACCTTTTTTAAGTTAAAAATTCAGTGGCATTTAATACATTCACAATGTTCTGCAACCATCACCTCTATCTAGTTTCAAGACATTTTCATCGGCTTCCCTGGTGGCGCAGTGGTTGAGAGTCTGCCTGCCGATGCAGGGGACACGGGTTCGTGCCCCAGTCTGGGAAGATCCCACATGCCGCGGAGCGGCTGGGCCCGTGAGCCATGGCCGCTGAGCCTGCGCGTCCGGAGCCTGTGCTCCGCAACGGAAGAGGCCACAACAGTGAGAGGCCCCCGCACCGAAAAAAAAAAACAAAAACAAAAACACATTTTCATCACCCCCAAAGAAAACCCATTTTCATTTAGCAGTTTCTCTCCACTCCCCCTGCCCCCAGCCCTTGGCAACCATCAGTTGGTTTTCTGTCTCTATGGATATATCTCTTCTGGATCATTCATATAAATGGAATCATACAGTATGTGACTTTTTATGTCTGTATTAATGTTTTCGAGGTTCATTTATGTTGTAGCTGACTGAGTGATATTCCATTGTATGGATATACTATTTGTTTTGCCGTTCATCTGCTGATGGACATTTGAGTTATTTCCACCTTGGCTGTCGTGAATAGAGCTGCTGTGGGCAGCTGTGTACAAGGATTTGTTTGAGTACGTGTTTGCAATTCCATTGGGTATATAACTAGGAGTGAAATTGCTGGGGCATGTGATAATTCTGTTAATTTTTTGAGGAACTGCCAATCATTTTCTACAGCTGAGCCATGTAACCTCCCCAACAGCAATGGACAAGGGTTCTGATTTCTCTACATCCTTTCCAACACTTGTTATTTTCTGTTTTTTCGTTTTGTCTTGTTTTTAAATTATTATCACCATCCTAGTGGGTGTGAAGTGGAATCTCATTGTGCTTTTGATTTGCATTTCCCTAATGGGCAAAAATATTGAGCATCTTTTTTTTTTTTTTTTTTTGTGGTACGTGGGCCTCACTGCTGTGGCCTCTCCCGTTGCGGAGCACAGGCTCCAGATGCACAGGCTCAGTGGCCATGGCTCACGGGCCTAGCCGCTCCGTGGCATGTGGGATCTTCCCGGACTGGGGCACGAACCCGTGTCCCCTGCATCAGCAGGCAGACTCTCAACCACTTTGCCACCAGGGAAGCCCTGAGCATCTTTTTATGTGCCTGTTGGCTTTTGTGAGTTTGGGGGGTTTTTGTTGTTGTTTTTTAAATTAATTCCCCCTCTATTATAGTTTTGCTGGGATCTTGGGAGGGAATAAAAGTAGATGTTTGTATTCAATCCAACATTTTTACCCAGAGATCTTCTTCCTCAGCTTTCTTGCCTCTGAGATGATTAGAGTGAGGAAGAGGGATGTACTGGCGGCTGGGGGTGGGGGGGCTGAAGTACGTATTGCACAATCAAGAGTACTGGGCTACGAGTCAAGAGACTGTGACTCTAGACCCAGCTCCACCAAGAGCTTTCTGTGTGATCTGGGCCAGTTTCCCTCTCTAACTTTTGTTTTCTTCAGTTGAGTTTGAATTGTGATCTTTAAAGTTCTTTATAGTTCTCACATTCTAAAGATCTATGAGGGTCAGGGGACCTGACCTCTGTCCTCAGCGCAAGATACGTGTTGGGGTGGCGGGTATGTACGTGGATCGGTGCCTTTCCCTTCCTGAATCTTCCCCTCTTGCACTTTCTCCTCAGTGGAACACACGGGCCAAGCGGGAGAAGCTGACGGAGCTGATGTTTGAGCAGTACAACATTCCTGCCTTCTTCTTGTGCAAGACAGCTGTGCTTACTGCGTATCCACTGGGTTAAGCTTCTCTGCCAGAGTGGAGGGTCAGGGTGGGGGGTGTGGCGTTCTGAGCTGGAGGCTGAGCCTGATTCTATGGAGAGTAATATCCTGGATGGGCAGACAGCCCCCTGAGCCCCATTAGTGCAGAGGGCCCCTGGGGGCTAAGTGCCTTGGACCTTGGGGTGGCCAGCTCAGCGGCCCTTTCCCATTCCTTGGATCAGGCTGGGCATTGAGAGTAGGGACAAGTAGACAGCAGGGGCTGGGGCTGGAGGGAGGAGGGAAGGGTATATGACACTGAGGTGTTTGTTCCCTTCCCAAGCAGCCAATCAGCATTTATTTTATTTAAGGATCTGCCTTGCCTTGAACCCTATGCTAGGCAGTGGGGCGATACAGCCCCTAATTTCAGAGAGCCCATGGGACATAGAACTAAACCTAAAGAGAGGCTGGGAGCTCAAAAGGAAGGAATAGAGGAAGAGAGTGTGATTCGGACAAGAAAAAAGTGACAAGGGTCTCAGCTGCCTTTCTCTAGCGGATGGGTCACAAACTAGAAGGAGAGATTTGCAGACTGGGAATGGGCTGGATCCAGGAAAGAAGAGAGTGACTAGGCCAGACTCGGGTCCCAGCCCCCTCTTGCTGCTGTCTCTTTGACCTACCCATCCCACACCAGCTTTGCAAATGGACGCTCCACAGGTCTGGTGCTGGACAGTGGGGCCACCCACACCACGGCCATTCCAGTGCACGATGGCTACGTCCTGCAGCAAGGTGGGGCCTCGGCAGGGGTCGGGGGTGCCTTGAGGGACCAGGTCCTGACACCCCCTCCTTTCCAGGCATTGTCAAGTCACCCCTGGCAGGGGACTTCATCTCCATGCAGTGCCGAGAGCTCTTCCAGGAAATGGCAATTGACATCATCCCGCCTTACATGATCGCAGCCAAGGTGGAGCCTCTGGGATGTCCTGGGCACTGACCCTATGACTGTCGACCCACTGACCCATCAGATATCAGGGTGGGGAGCAGCCAGGCCCCAGAAGGACCCTCAGCCCTCAATTTGCAATTGAGGCATCAGAGATCTGGACAGGCTGAGGGATATGGCCGAGGTCCCACAGCCAACTGCTAGCAGGATGTGTATGTGAGGGCCAGTGTGGTGGGTACTGGTGTCCAGTAGACCCAGGTTCAAGGTCTGCTTCTGCCACAGAAGAGCTGTGTGACCTAGAGCATGAGACTGAAGCTCCCAAGCCTCAGTTTCCTCCCCTGTAAAATGGAATAACAGCATGTAGGGCTGCCGCGAGTGTTAAATGAGACACTGCATGCAAGGGATCCCCACGTGGAACATGGATCCGTAAAAGGCTGTTTCCTTAAGGTCTGGCCGCCTACTGGATTCCCCAGGGCGCTCAGTGTTCTCTGACCAAAGCCTTTCAGATCAGCTGTACCCGCTGCACACATGGCATCTGTGGGGATGGGCTTTCCCCGTTCTCTCTCCTCTAACAGGGAAGGGGGAGAAACACCTTTTCTGGGCAACAGAGCAGAGAACCCAGTGCCCATTAGCTGCAGAGCTGGCAGGTGTGGTCAGGGTAGGCTGGGCCAGTGTGGGATGGCGTAGGGTGCTCACAGGCTGTGCCCCCACAGGAGCCCGTACGGGAGGGCGCCCCCCCAAACTGGAAGAAGAAGGAGAAGTTACCCCAGGTTTCCAAGTCCTGGCATAACTACATGTGCAATGTGAGGCGCTGGAGAAATCCCCCCAAACCCCCGTGCCCCCCACCTCCTAGTCCCCTGCCATGAGCCGCGGGGAGGGACAGAGGCCCTGCAGGCGGAGTGGGGTGGGCCCTGAGATGGGAACCCAGCCCTCACCACCTCCCTGGGTTCTCAGGAGGTGATCCAGGACTTCCAGGCCTCCGTGCTGCAGGTCTCGGACTCTCCCTATGACGAGCAGTAAGTGCAGCTCATGGCTGGGGGGTGGGGGGTGGAAAGGGGGCAGGCCTGGAGCTCAGGGGGGACCGCTGGTCTTTTGGGAGCACCCCCAAGCAGAGTCTTGCTCCTTCCTGGGCAGGGTGGCTGCGCAGATGCCCACAGTGCACTACGAGATGCCCAATGGCTACAACACAGACTATGGTGCGGAGCGACTCCGCATCCCTGAGGGCCTGTTTGATCCCTCCAATGTCAAGGTGGGGCTGGGTGGAGGGCCCTGGATCCTGGGGTGTGGGAGAAGCTGGGAAGGATCACAGAGGTCTGGGAGAGGGGACAGAGGGCCCAAAGCCCAGTCACCTTTCTCTGCAGGGCCTTTCGGGGAACACCATGCTAGGTGTGGGCCACGTGGTGACCACCAGCATCGGCATGTGCGACATTGACATTCGCCCGGTGAGGCCCAAGCCTGAGTCTTGGCAGAGGGGCCCAGGAGAAGCTGGGGGCGGGGAGGGGCTGTCCCATGAGTGCTCACTCCTCCTCCCTGCTCTCAGGGCCTGTACGGCAGTGTCATTGTCACTGGTGGGAACACGCTGCTCCAAGGCTTCACTGACAGACTCAATCGAGAGCTTTCCCAGAAGACTCCACCGGTAGGAACCCACCCCTGGCCAGGGCCCTGGACTCCAGTCCTGGCTCAGCCCTTCAGGACCAAGTCCTTCCTCCTTCCCACACATCAAGCAAACGTTCTGGCCACCAGAGTGGCCCCTTCCTGCTGTGGCTTCCCAGTCTTCCCTACCCCCAGCCCTGTCCCTTCCCAGAAGCCAGGTGTCTGCTTCCCCCAGCCCCTCTTTCTCCCCAGAGCATGAGACTGAAGCTCATCGCCAGCAACAGCACCATGGAGCGCAAGTTCAGCCCCTGGATCGGGGGCTCCATCCTGGCCTCACTGGTGAGAGGGGAGGGGCCTGGCCTAGCGCTGAATGTGGGGAAGAGCAGATCCAGACAGCCCCCATCGCCTTGCCTGCCTCCTCATTCATTCATTCAACAAACATTTATGAAAGGGCAGTCACTGCTCCCAGAAAGGTGGATCCTACATCAGGACACAAATCAGGGAGAGGAGGACAGGAAGCCGGAGAGGTTGGCTGGGATGAGATTGTGGTGGCCCTGTGTGCCAGGGTGAGACCCTGAAGGTTTGGGGCAAGGTGATGTGATGGCCACAGGCACGTTTGGGAAGGTTATGTCAGACATGAGTCTTTGGGGATCAGGGTATGAGCCGGATGTGAGGGGACCTTGCCAGGAGGTTCTTCCTATTGTCCTGGAGTCATGGAATGGGTAGCAGTGGGGATGGGGTGGTGAGCAAGGGGCAAACAGAAGGAAGCTGGCAGGTTGGTTCTGGGGCGGTAGGTGGGGAGTTCAGTCTGGACCAGCTGCTGGGGTAGAGGCAAGACGCTGAGCGAGAGGTGCAGATGCAAACTGCATCTGGGGGTGCAGGTGTCAGCCACACAGAGTGGGACAGCAGGGCCATGACAGGACAAGAAGGATATCCACTAGAGTGGGTGCCCCCAAGGAGACAGAAACAATGGTCAGAGTGACAGGAGACTGAACCCCTGAAGTTAGCTCAGGGCTGAGAGTGTGTCAGTCACACAGTTGTTGAGGGCCTCCCGTGCACCTGAAGTGGACAGACAGCCCGACCTAGTCCCCGCGTCTGTGCGTGGGAACAGCCTGGAAGCCGAGACGATTAAACAGGAGGTCATCACAAAGTGTGGGGTGTTCCTTCAAAGGAAGACTTGATTTTGTTCAGGGGTCATGAAGGGCCTCTAAGGGGCACTCAAGCTGAGATGAAAGAGTGAGTAAGAACTTATGAGGCAAAGTGGGAGAGAGGGTGCTTGGCTCCTGCGGGGAGCTAGGCGAGGCCAAAGGCAGTGGGTAGATGCTGTGAGATCTGAGTTGAGTGAACTCACTTGGGCTGCAGAGCAGAGAGCGGATTGGAGGGGGCTGCTGTGGTCTCCACTGTGACCTGCGTTTGACGGCGGAGCAGATATCGGGGTGGAATTGAAAGCTTATCAGAGTTCTGACTGACAGAATGTGGACACTGTTTGCATACGCGAGGTAAGAGGGAACCGGCTCAAGGACGAGGCCCGGGATGCTAGATGCTGGCAGTGCTGTCCAAGAGGAATGTAATGTGAGCCACATAGGTCATTTAAAATGTTTTAGTAGCCATAATTAAAAAGAGTCCAAAGAAACACGTGAAATTAAGTTTTAAGAATATATCCTATTTAATCCAACATATCCAAAGTATTATCATTTCAATATGTCATCAATATAAAAGTTAAGATGTTTTACATTCTTTTCCCTGGGTTCAGTCTTCAGTATCCGGTATATATTCGACATGTGGAGCATATCTCATTTCGGACTAGCCACATTTCAAGTGCTCAATAGCTCCATTTCAAATGTTCCATGTAGCGAATGGCCACTGGATTTGGACAGGGCAACTGTAGAAGGTGAGAATGACCAGAGAAGCAGGTTTGGGGCAGGTGTGGGCGAACATAGTGAACACACTTGTGGACATGTTGAGGGTGAGGTCCCGGGGGACACTGAGGAGGAGGTGTCCAAAGACAGGTGAGTACAGCAAGTCCCCTACTTACGAACCTTCGGGTTTCGAACTTTCAAAGATGCGAATGTTCGCATGTCCAATCACATAGTTAGTTCACGTGTCTGGCGTACATTGTCACACGCGTGCATCCTCCACAAGTGATTTGCTTTTGTGTACTTTACTGTACAGTACTGTATAGAGTACAATCGTACCGTACTTGTAAAAAATAGAAGTGTTCATTTCATTGGCACTAGTGCAGAACTTCTTAGAATATGCAACCTTAGCATAAGATATTTCTTTAAAAATTATATTTCAAGCCCATAAAATAATTTCACTCTGAAGAATTTTGAATAGGAATGTACATTAGATATTATAGATATTGGAATGATAGATAAAAATCAGATATCATCTTTTTAATCCAGTTACTTCACTGTGACCACATTTGTTAAAACTGCGTTCAGTATTATGTGTGGTCTTCATGATTTCTTTGGATCCCTAGTGTCTATATTTATTTCAGCAGACATAATATACTTGTGGGAAAAGTATTATAAACCTATTAAAGTACGGTACTATATAGCCGATGGTGTTAGTTGGGTACCTAGGCTAACTTTGTTAGACTTAGAAACAAATTGGACTTAAGAACACGCTCTCAGAAGGAAACTCGTTGGTATGTAGGGGCCTTACTGTATTTGGGTCTGGAACTCAGCGCAGAGATCTGCACTGGAAACCAGAGATGTTGGGAAGGGTGGGGCCTTGGCACGTGAGCAGAAGGGAGGGGAATGACCTGGTCCAGGAAGGTGTGTTCTTCCTGGACACGCCAAGGGACAGAAGCAGGGACACACACACTAACTTTCAGGCAGAGGCAGGACAACCACAGAGAGGGTGCAGTCTGAAATGCCAGGGCTGGAGACCCTCAAGGCGCTTGTTTCAGCGGGAGGGTGGAGGTGGGGCGCCAAAGTGACGACATCCTAATATCCTGATGTTAGGTGGTGTCGGAATGGTGGGGAGGGAGGAGGAAAGATTTTTCTTGGGAAGGAGCGCGACTTGGCGTGTTTGGAAGGCCTGACGGAGTGATAGGGTATCTGGTGGAGAATGGATGTGGAGTGTTGGGGCGCCGGTTGGCTGGCCTGGGGCTGTAAGCTCCACCTCCCAGCTCGAGAACAGCCCTGGGCCCCGGGCAGACTGGTGCTCAATAAATACTTGTTGAATGAATGAATCGTGGATTGAACGATATGAAGCAGGTATTCGCCCTCTGAATACGAAGGAGGGGACAGGAAGATGGGGCAAGTTGGTGGCTGCGGGAGGGCTGTGGGCTTGAGAGGAGGAGGTTCCGAGGAGGCGAGCCTGCGCGGGAGGCGTGTGGGGAGGCGCTTCTCCCTCTCTCCAGAGCCTCCCCGACCGCCGATGTCGCCCCCCCCCCCCCCCCCCCCCGACCCAGGGCACTTTCCAGCAAATGTGGATCTCCAAGCAGGAATATGAGGAGGGCGGGAAGCAGTGTGTGGAGCGGAAGTGCCCCTGAGGGCGCCCGCTCCCCGTCCACAGGCCCGCCTGCAGCGGCGGGGGAGGGAACGCGAAAGCAAGGAGATGGTTTCCCCCACCTCTGCTCCGCCAGCGCAGATCGAAGCCCCCAACGCTCCCAGCGCCCGCTTTTCTTCCCTTCCCCACTCGTCCTCTTAGATTGTGATGTTTATGGGTTGAAAGGAGTAAAAATGTTTTAAGAAAAAAAAAAAGTTGGCCTCTTTGGGGGTGGGCAGTGGGGGCAGGGGTCTGGAGAGAGGAGAAGGGAGGACCACACCTATACCCATTCGGAATCGCACGGTGGACGCCAGGGCAAGGTCTGCGGGCGGGGGCAGAGCCGTAGGAGCCACGGATGCCTCAGGTTTCAAAGGGGCCGCAATCCAGGGAGGATCACGCAGCGAGAACGCGGGAGAGTCGCTCAGTTAGGCGCCCAGCGTGGAGCTGAGTTGCGGCGGGAAGTGGGAGCCGGAGAGAGGATGCGGCGGTAGGGGCGGGGCGGAGCCGAGGATCCGCCCCAGAGGCGGGGCCTGGGCGGGACCGGAGGTGGGATCTTGGGTGGGCGGGGCCTCGGGCCTCCCGAGAGGCCGCACTTAAGCACCCCTGGACCCACAGCTCAGGTGAGACGGGACTGCGCTGTCTTTTCCGGGGCGCTAGGCGGTGACAAGAGTGGGGCAGGGAATGTGGCACCGGTACTCCCCAGCAGCTCAGAACTCTCCCAACTTGGGTAGGAACTGAGGTCTCCTACGAAGACCCCGACACTGGGCCCTTGAGCCCTTCCATTCCAGAGCTCCTTGCCCCCTGCCTGAAACTGTAGGTAAAACTTAGTAGTTTGTGCCTGTGTTCTGAGGTCCCCAGACCCCAAAGAGATAGAAACCCGTGTGGTCCAAGTCCTTTGGTAACCAAAGAGGCACAGGTGCCCAGGGAGGACCATCACTTGTCCAACGTTACCCACCTCTGCCCGTGCCTTGGCCAGGATTCTTTCCACTGATGCCTGGTGGGCCTTGACCCACAGATCCCTGACTCCAGGCAGGATCCCCATCCTGGAGCACTCACCGGCCCTGCCTGACCATGTGCTCCCACCCATGCACCTCCCTCCGCAGCAGCCAGCAGGAGCCTGGACCCCCCTTGCAGCCTGATTCCAATGGGACAGGCACCCACATGGCCAGGCCAAACCCCAGGTCACACCACTGTGGCCCCTTCAGCTAGGGATCCCACTGGGAGGGCAGCTAATGTGTTACAGGGCTTGGGTATTGGGGAGCCCGCAAGCCAGATGAGGAAGGGGCAGAGGTGTTCATGGTGGGGAGCTTAGGAAGGGGTCCCCAAGGACATTGGGAAGGGAGGAAGCAGGAGGGTGGAAGGGGCATCCATATCTCCGCCTTCCCCAGCCATCAGCCCTCCTCCCCCAGCCTTGACGGGAACTAGAGGCCAAAGTCTGCCCCAAGGCCAAAAAATTGATTGTTTTGCAAGAAGAGGGCAGGAGTGGGACTGCGGAGGGATTGGCAGGGGAGGGCACAGCCCCTCATCCTCTAGCCTGGGCTGGGGGCCGTGTCTGGAAGGCTGAACTGAAGCCCGGACTGTGCCCCCACCCTGGGACGGGGGAGGCAGAGAAGGGCCTGGGCTCAGGCTGCCTGCCAGGGCTGATAAGGGGCCTCTTGGGGCTCCCACAAACGGTTTATCACTGGGGGTGGGGGACAGACTGCAGGGCTCAGGAGGGGGCACGAGCATGGAGCGGCTTTGGGGTCTACTCCAGAGAGCGGTAAGATAGAGTGGGGTTGGGAGACCCTTAGGCCTTCTCTCCAGGTCCTCAGTCCCCTCCCAAACCCCAAGTGGGCCCCTCCCCTTCCCTACCTCCTACTCTCCCCCCCAGCCTGCTTCTTGGGGCCCTCTCCCCTGCCTTGTGCCCATGGCACCCCGAAGTCACTGACCCTGTTATCGCCAGATTCCTCCCCATCCTCCAGGCCTCTTTCCCCGATTTCATGTCCACCACGCCCCTACAGCAAAGGTTGTCCCCAGGACCCTCTCAGACCATCTACAAGCGTGTGGAGGGCACCCAGCAGGGGCCCCTGGAGGAGGAAGAGGAAGACAGGGAGGAGGGGACCGAGCCACCGGCCCACTTCTTCCCCATGGAGCTGAGGGGCCCCGAGCCCCTGGGCTCTCGACCAGCTCGGCAAAACCCCAGACTCTGGGCAGCAGCAGGACGAAGAGCCACCCCTTACCTGGTCCTGACAGCCCTACTGATCTTCACTGGGGGTGAGAGTCATCCCCACCCCCAGTGGAGGGGCTGGGCTGGGGGAGATATCTGGGGTCCAGAGAGGGGCACAAGGAGACTCTCCATCTTGCCACCCACCAGCCTTCCTCCTGGGCTACGTGGTCTTCCGGGGGTCCTGCCAGGCATGTGGGGATGACGTGATGGTGGTCAGCGAGGACATGAACCATGAGCTGGGCCCGGACTCCCACCAGGGCACATTGTACTGGAGCGACCTCCAGGCCATGTTTCTGCGGCACCTGGGGGAGGGGCGTCTGGAAGATACCATCAGGTGAGGATCAGCCAGTCCCATTCCAGGCCCTCAAAAAACATCACCTGCTCAGACTCAGCCTCCCTTCCTCTTCACCCGGGACCCTGAGTCCTGCCACCTGCCGCCCTGGCCTCCCTGCTCAGTGGTCCTGGGAAGGATAGAAGGCGTTTGGAGCTGAGGGGAGGGAGGGCAGCAGATGACACATTTGGAAGCTGAGGGAGCTGCCTGAATGTGCACAGAGGGCTCCAGCATCCACATATGAAGTGGGACAGACCCAGAAAAGTCTTGAATGCCACGTTGAGGAGCTTGGAATTTGACCTGTGGCAGTGGGGAGCTCTGGGGGTCTCTGAGAAGGGGGACTTAGGGAATCAGAAAAAGAAGCAAATGTATGTGTGGGCAAAGACCATCCCCCAATCTGTGGGGTCTGCCAGCCCAGCGTGAGCAGGCTAGCGTTTCTTTTGTCCTGCTGAGGTCACCTTTTCCTACTGGGATGGAGCTGCTCGGGTAGGTCCAGAGAAGAGGTCAGGAATCATTTCTTCAGTGGGTTATCCTGGGTTTCCTAAGTGGAAAATTATATAATCTATATTTAGTGAGAGACGCATAGTTTCTTTTCCAATGCATATATCTTTTATATCTTTTTCATTTATTATTGCATTGGAGAGGACATGAATTTAGGTAATGAGATAGTAAATATCCTTGCCTAGTTCCTAACTTTCATAGGAATGTTTTTCTAATACTTTGTCATTGTTGCTTTTTTTTTTTTTTTGGAACCCGGGCCCTCGGCAGTGACCGCCAGGGAATTCCCCCAGTTAGATTTTTAGAAGTAAATTAAGGAAGTTTCCTTCTATTCCTAACTTACTGAGACTTTTTCTTTTTTTTTAATGATCAGGAAAGGAGGAACAAGAATCAATTTTTTTTCAAATATTTTTCCAGAATGTATTGATACGATCACATGATTTTTCTTCTTTAAAGTTTATGTAGTCATTTGTATTAATAGATTTCCTTGTCTTCATGAGATCAACATAAACCTGATCAAAGTGTATTATTATTTGTTGATACACTGCTGGATCCATTTTGCTTGAATCAACAACGTGCATGTTTTTTTGTTTTGGTTTGGTTTTTAAATTAATTAATTTATTTTTGGCTGCATTGGGTCTTCATTGCTGCGCGTGGGCTTTCTCTAGTTGCAGCGAGCGGAGGCTACTCTTCGTTGTGGTGTGCGGGCTTCTCATTGCAGTGGCTTCTCTTGTTGTGGAGCACGGGCTCTAGGCACATGGGCTTCAGTAGTTGTGGCGTGTGGGCTCAGTAGCTGTGGCACATGGGCTCAGTTGCTCTGCGGCATGTGGAATCCTCCTGGACCAGGGCTTGAACCCGTGTCCCCTGCATTGGCAGGTGGATTCCCAATCACCGCACCACCAGGGAAGTCCCTACATGCATGGTGGTTTTTGTTGGTTTTTTTTCTGTTGAGCAACACTTAGTAGTCTGGGTACAGCCTGAGCAAGTGGATGGTTTGACAGATCTACGGGGGTGGGGGGTGGCACTGTGGATGCCATCAAAGGGCAGGGAGGCAAGACGGGAGCAGTGAGAGGGAGCGGGCAATGAGGTGATGTATGACTCTAGGTTGGTTGGGGAAGGAAGGGAAACCAGGGAGGAGCTGATAGACATGGAGAAATTGGACAGTGTGGAGTGCTCCATGGAGTTGCAGAACAGGTATAGTGAGCCTAAGGGAGTGAGTTCCAACCTGAAAAGCTCCGATCAGGGAGTGAGATTCTGGAACTTTTAAGATTTATATGATAAACTGTGTCCTATTTATCTTGCAGCCTCCAGCACCTACCACCATGCCTAGCACTTAGTAGGTGTTCAGTAAATTGGATCAGTATTCCAGAGATGGAGTTCTGGGGACAAGATCCAGGATGTGGCCAGGGAAGTGGCTGGCCAGATGCCAAAGTCTTCACTGAAAGTGGCTAAGTGACCAATTGGCTAAAAGATGACAGCAGCGAGGAAGGACAGAGGGTGGGACTGCTGGATGGCAGGGACTTTGACGGAAGAGAGTTTCATGGTCAGGAACGTGAACAGTGGAGCCAGAAGCACACCTCCTCTCTGGGCCTGGGTGGTATGAGAGCCTGAGCTGCTTTTTTCACATGTCCCGAAGGAGACCTGGCCTCCCAAGGGACAGCCAGGTTTCTGCCAAGGCAAAAGGTAGAAGGGGTATTCAGTGATGATGCTGAGAAGGGAAGTTTGTTTGCCATGGAAAGAGCACAGGTGGAGCTGCTTGAGAGAAAGGCCATGCAGGGGCCGTGCTGGCACAGGCAAGATGGAAGATCAGGGAGCGTTCCAGTGACAGCAGGCTGGCTAGTTAGGTGGTGACTATGGAAGAAGACAGGGTGAGGTCTCCAACCAGACAAGTGACCCCAGATTCCACCGGCAACCTTGGTGTAAGGTGTCTCCATTAGGCCCAGCTGGAGGCTGAGAGCGATGCAGGGCCCCTCACCTCTGCCCAGATAGCCCTTTGGAAGAAAAGTGTTTTCATGCCTGGGGCAGAGCACAGGCTAGTGTGTGTATGTGCGGAGGGGACAGTAGGTAGACTGGTGAGTTTGGCCTGACCTGTGAAGAGCCTAAGGGGTGGTGGACAGGACCCCTGGCTATCAGAAGCTGAGGTTTAAGCAGAAGGAGGCCCTGGAGACCCTCCAGTGCAACCCTGGTAGTGATGGCAGGAGAGCCTTAAGAGCCCCTCACTGCCCGGGGCTGGGGCCACCCCACACCTCTGGCATCCTTCCCCTGCTCCCGCCCTCTCCTCGAGGTCCCCAGAAGTCCCTGCCCCTCTCTCCTCCTGCGCCCCAATCCCCCCCTCTCCCTGCACAGGCAAACCAGCCTTCGGGAAAGGGTAGCCGGCTCGGCCGGGATGGCAGCCCTGGTTCAGGACCTCCGCGCGGTGCTCTTGAGCCAGAAGCTGGACCACGTGTGGATGGACACGCACTACGTGGGGCTGCAGTTCCCGGACCCGTGAGTGCATGGGGTGGGGTTGGGGGGCGAGGAGGGGTGGGCGGCCTGTGGGTGGGTCGCTCACCACCCCCGCTCCTCAGGGCTCACCCCAACGCCCTACACTGGGTGGATGCCGCCGGGAAGCATGGGGAGCAGCTGCCACTGGAGGACCCGGACGTTTACTGCCCCTACAGCGCCACGGGCAACGCCACGGTGAGCGCCTCCTGCCCGGTCCCCAGGATGGGGCAGCGTGCGCTTTCCCTGGCGGTGGAGCGGGGGCGCGCCTCACTGCCCTCCCCATCCTCCCTCCCCAGGGAGAGCTGGTGTACGCCCACTACGGGCGGCCGGAGGACCTGCAGGACCTGCGGGCCCGGGGCGTGGAGCCGAAGGGGCGCCTCCTGCTGGTGCGCTTGGGGGTGATCAACTTCGCCCAGAAGGTGAGGGTCCCTGGATGCGGGTTGGGGCGGAGCGGGGAGGGTGCCGGCTGGGGAGTCCGGGGATCGGATGGCGGCAAATAGGAAGCGTCTAGGAGGCGGTCACAGAGAGAAAAGGAAGAACCAAATGGGTCGTAAGAAACCGTTGGCAGGGAACAAAATCAGGAGGTTGGGGTGGGGAACAGAAACAGGAGGGGATGTGGGGTACAGTGAGGTTTGGGGGCTGCCGAGGCACTGCGGGAGGGCGGAAGGCGAGGTCCAGGGGGTGCCCACAGCCTCTCTGTGGATCCACAGCTGCAGATCAGAGGCCGTGCCATTCCACTTTTACTTGCTCCTTCAGCCTTTATAAATCCATTTTCTCTGGGAGAAGGGGTCCTTTAGCCACCTCCCTTCCCCAGGTGGCCAGTGCCCAGGACTTTGGGGCCCAAGGAGTGCTCATATACCCGGACCCGGCAGACTTCTCCCAGGGCCCACACAAGCTTAGCCTGTCCAGCCACCGGGCTGTGTATGGACATGTGAGTCTCGGGGAGCCAGTAGTGCCTTCCTGTGGTCCCAGGGCTGCACAGCCTGCCTAGGATGAGGCTGGCGCCCTATCCTGGGGAGCCCGGCTCACAGTTTCAGTGTGGGCAACCCTCTCCCCACAGGTGCACCTGGGAACGGGAGATCCCTACACACCTGGCTTCCCTTCCTTCAATCAAACCCAGTTCCCTCCGGTTCAGTCCTCGGGCCTCCCCAGCATCCCAGCCCAGCCCATCAGTGCGGACACTGCCTCCCTTCTACTGAGGTGGGGGCCATGTGGGGACCAGGAGGGGAGGAGGCAGGGAGAGGTAGGCTGCAGCTAGCCCATAAGGTGCCTTTGGGTGAACCAGAACAAGGTGGCTCTTCTGGGTGGGCGCAGCCTCTTGCCATTTGGTGAGTGGCGCTCCAGCTGGATATCACACCCACCTCTGCTGGGCACTCTTGAGCAGGACACAACCTGCACAACTGTCCAAGGCAGCCCTGGCTGCACTGGCCCCTCAGGCAGAGTACAGATGCAGAGAGCTGGAGCCAGAGGGTGTGAGGGAGAGAAAGAGTGAAGTGGGGGCTTTGGGCTCTTCCATAGCCTGGGACTCTCTGCCACTTCTAACCCTTTCTGCTCTACCCCTCCCCAGGAAGCTTGAAGGCCCTGTGGCCCCCCAGGAATGGCAGGGGCACCTCGCAGTCTCCCCTTATCGCCTGGGCCCTGGGCCAGGCCTGCACCTAGGGGTCAACAACCACAGGGCCTCCACCCCCATCAGCAACATCTTTGGCTGCATCGAGGGCCGCTCAGAGCCAGGTGTGCTTGCTTATCCAGCATCACCCACACCCTGCAGCGGGGGAGCTGGGCTTAGCAGGGAGGGAGGCTGGCAAGTTGGGGATGGGCTGGAACTGAGGGGGGTGGCAGTGAGGAGACCTCACGGTTGAAGCTGTCCCGAGACAGAATGGGCAGTTCTGCACAGTAGTGAGTTCCCTAGCACCAGAGGTGAGCAAGCATAAGTTGGGTGATGTTACAGCATGAAAGGGAGATCAGACTAGATAAGTGAGCCTTTCAAGCATAACTTGTTGTGGATAACAGTGGGGAATCAAAGTGGGTTCTTGAGCCAAAGAGTGTGGTACGTAGAAGCACTGAAGGAAGAGGCACAGGGAGGCCTGTGATGAGGCTCAGATGAGCATGCTGGTGGTGGGAGTGGGAGTGGGAAGGGTTAGAGAGAGATTTTAAACCTGTCAGGACTTGGTGAACAGAGGGGCACCCCGATCAGGCAGGTAATGGAGCCCAGAATGACCCCAGGCAATGTGATGAAGGAGCAGCCCACCCAGGAAGGGCCAAGGGGAGGAGAGGAACTCTCTTTAGGGGCAGCAGGGATTGCAGGGCTGGGGCTGCAGAGATGTGAGGGTCCTGCAGAAATGGACCCTCCTAGGGTCAAGGGAGAAGCCTCTGGGTTCTGCCCATGTAAGAGGTGGGCCCCAACATCCCCTCCCCCAGATCACTATGTTGTCATTGGGGCCCAGAGGGATGCATGGGGCCCAGGAGCAGCCAGGTCCGCCGTGGGGACCGCCATACTGCTGGAGCTGGTGCGGACCTTTTCCTCCATGGTGAGCAATGGTAAGGTCAGGGTCTGGGCCTGGGCCGGGTAGCTGGGGCTGTGGTCTGAGCTAGGACAGGGCAGAGAGGCAGTTATAAGCACAGGCTGGAGGGTGGCCACTGAGACCTGGGCTCCAAACCTGGCTCCTCCGTGTCCTGGCTGTGTGGCCCTGGGCAAGTCACTTCACCTCCATTTCCTCATTTTTTTTTTTTTTTGCGGTACGCGGGCCTCTCACTGTTGTGGCCTCTCCCGTTGCGGAGCACAGGCTCTGGACGCGCAGGCTCAGCGGCCATGGCTCACGGGCCCAGCCGCTCCGCGGCATGTGGGATCTTCGCAGACCGGGGCACGAACCCGTGTCCCCTGCAGGCAGGCGGACTCTCAACCACTGCGCCACCAGGGAAGCCCCATTTCCTCATTTAAACATGAAAGTACTAATAGTCCATGTCTGAGTGAAGATTAAGCAGGAGATTCCCTATGTAAGCAATCCCCATCACTGATACAGCTGAGTCAGGGCAGACCCAGGTGAGATGGGCTGGGATGGTGGCTTGATGGGAGGGAAGGAGAGATCCCAGGGGACCAGGACAGAGGAAGACAAAGAGGTGGGTCTTTGCCTGGCCCCCAGCCAAGCCCATCCTCCCTCCTTCCCCCCCCCCCGCCCCCAGGCTTCCGGCCCCGCAGAAGTCTTCTCTTCATCAGCTGGGATGGTGGTGACTTTGGGAGTGTGGGCTCCATGGAGTGGCTGGAGGTAACCTGGGGTCCTGGGCAGGTAGTCAGGCAGTGGGGAGAGGCAGGGGGATTTCATACTCCACACCCCCCACCCACAGGGCTACCTCAGCGTGCTGCACCTCAAAGCCGTAGTCTATGTGAGCCTGGACAACGCAGTGCTGGGTGAGCAGGGGCAGTGCCACCACCTGGGCCCCCTCTGGTGCACCCTGCCCTCCGGGCCAAGCCTTGAGCCCGGCATCCCTCTCCGCAGGGGATGACAAGTTCCACGCCAAGACCAGCCCCCTTCTGATCAGCCTCATCGAGAACATCCTAAAGCAGGTAAGAGCCTGGCCAGGAGTGGGGGATGAAGGGAAGCTGGTGGCCGCCAGAGCCTGACTGGTGCCCCCCACCCCGCCCCCAGGTGGACTCTCCTAACCGCAGTGGGCAGACCCTCTTCGAGCAGGTGGTGTTCAACAATCACAGCTGGGAAGCTGAGGTGTAAGTTGGGCAGGGAGGGAGGGAAGAGAGCTGGGGGGGATATGTGGGGGGACCCTGAACCCACACAGCGCTCCAACCTGCCCATCCCCAGGATCCGGCCGCTGCCCATGGACAGCAGTGCCTATTCCTTCACGGCCTTTGCGGGGGTCCCTGCCGTTGAGTTCTCCTTCATGGAGGTGAGACTTCCGGGCCCTGCCCCAGAACAGCAGCCCCTGGGCCTGTTCACACTGTGCCCGCGCGCCAGCCTCCGCCCTGTCCCGGCAGGATGGCCCGATGTACCCGTTCCTGCACACGAAGGACGACACCTATGAGAACCTGCACAGGGTACTGCGGGGCCGCCTGCCTGCCGTGGCCCAGGCTGTGGCCCAGCTCGCCGGGCAGCTCCTCATCCGGCTCAGCCACGATCACCTGCTGCCCCTCGACTTCGGCCGCTATGGGGATGTGGTCCTCAGGCACATCGGCAGCCTCAATGAGTTCTCTGGGGACCTCAAGGTCCAAGACGCCAACCCTGCTCCCGGCTTCTGGCGGTGGGGGGTGCTATATCCCATTAAAGTTGTGCCCGGGCCAGGGGATCTGGCCCCTCTCCCCTTCGTCTAGGGCCCGTCTGGCAACCTGGCCCCTTTACTCCTGCCCCAGTCACTAAGACCCTAGGGCCCAGCTAGCACCCGCCCAACCGCACAGGTCTTCTCTCTCCCTTCATTCTGCCCCCAGCATTCTGTCCCCCTATACCTCCCCACTCCTGCCAGGCCCGGGGTCCCAGCTCCGTCCCCCAGCACCTGGGCCCCTGCCGCCGGCCCCAGCCCGCGCCTTCGCCCTCAGGCCCGCGGGCTGACCCTCCAGTGGGTGTACTCGGCGCGGGGGGACTACATCCGGGCGGCCGAGAAGCTGCGGAAGGAGATCTACAGCTCGGAGGAGAGCGACGAGAGACTGACGCGCATGTACAACGTGCGCATTATGCGGGTGAGGCCCCGCCCAGCCCGGCCGCCTCCGGCCGCGCCGCCCCGCCCTCTTCCGGCGGCGTAGGGCCCCTCCTTTCGGCCCTGCGCCAGTGCGCTGTCCTACCCTCGTTCCGCTTTCATTTGTACCTGTCCTCGGGGCGTTCCCAGTCCTGGACTCACAGTGCTTTGCTCACAGACCCGCCAAGCTGGAGCGACCACAGAGGCGGGCCCGCAAAGTGATGAGACAGGGAGGGTCAGCCCCTTAGCCACAGTCGCCCGGCCACCGAATGGCAGAACTGGGACAACTGCGCCCCCTCCGGTTCCCCACCGCCTCCTCTCCCTTCTGGAGAGAAGAAGCATGTCCACGGTGGTCCATGGTCTAAGAGGCACAGGATCATGGCTTGGGAGATGCAAATGGTGTAAACAATTCAGAGCGTAGAGAGCTCTCTTACTTCTGGTGAGATGGATGAAACCCAGAAAGGCTGCCTGGAGGAGGTGTCATGTGAAAGTTATACAAGATTATTATTCCCTCCTGCTTAGGTTTGAATACTTTGCAGCCTGCACCCCAGCTCCAGTTCCAACCCATCCTCTTCCTTCCATTTCCTTACCCCAAGAACTCAACCCTGCAGCCCTTTGATCTCTGGAAATGGGTGGGTAGGGACTGTAGGCGAGGGGAAAAGTCTATAGGGCAAAATGATAAGCAGGGCCATCCTCAGTGACTGTGGGGTGAACCGGGACCCCGCGGTGTACACATGCGCGGTTTGGGGATGATATGTCTGGCCCTTGCAAGGTCTTGTTCTTTCTCCCCCCTCCTTTTTCCTGTTGTGTCCCTGCCTGCTTCCCTTGGCATCACTCATACAGTCTTTCTGTTCGCAAGCCCACCCATCTTGCTCTTTGGTCCTGGCTCCTTTCTCCTGGAATGGGCGATTCATCCTCATTCACAGATCTTGCTTTAACCCCCGCTGTGCCAGACCCTAGAGACAAAAAAAGACACTCCCCTCACCCTATCCCTAAAGTTGCAATGTGCCCCCCAAGGGATAAAGGGCATCTGTGTGTAAGGGACAGGATTCAGACTCAGGGCTGGAGAGTAAAAGATGCAGGGCTTCAGAACCTCAAACAGGGCTGGGCCAGACCCAGGGAACTTTGTGGTTCTAACCCAGGGGTTGGTAAACTAGCCAGCAGGCCGAATTTGGCTTGCCACCTGTTTTTGTAAATGAAGCTTTATTTTAACACAGCCGTGCTCGTTGATTTTTCTATTGTGTGTGGCTGCCTGTGTGCTACAGCAGCAAAGCTGAGTAGTTGCAACAGAAACAGTGTGGCCTGCAAAGCCTAAAATAGTTACGATCTGGCTTTTTCCAAAAAATGTTTGCTGACCCCTGCTTTAGGCTGTAATGTGGGTCTTGAGGAACAGACAGAACTTGGGTTGGTGCAAAAAGAGCATGTTTCAGGATGGAGACACCAAGAATAAGGGCATGGCAGTGCACTAGGCCTGGCTTTCCTTGGGAGGAGTGTGTAGACCAGCAGAGCCAGAACAGAAGCCCTGTGGAGGAGCGGAGGGGAGTGGGTTAGGGATCAACTATGGGGAGACTTGAATGCCAGTATAAGAAGTTTGGGTTCTGGGACTTCCCTGGTGGTCCAGTGGTTAAGACTCCTCGCTTCCACTGCAGGGGGTACGGGTTCGATCCCTGGTCAGGGAACTAAGATCCCCACATGCGACATGGCAAGGCAAAAAAAAAAAAAAAAAAAGATGTTTGGGTTTTGAGGGTCTGGGCATCAAGGAAATTTGGAAGGTTTTTGAGCAGCCCGGTGATGTGGGCAAAGTGAAATTTTAGGAAATACTTGGCCAGAGTGTAAATGGCTTGAAAAGGGAACGAAGTTAGTGATAGCTGAGCTCTGGGTGGGTGAGGGGATTGAACTGGTGTGCGACATTTGGAAGGAAAAATGGACGGACTGGGTGTTGAGGGAAGAGGAGGAGAATAATAATAGCAGCTGCCATTTATTGAGGGCTATCACGTGCTAAGGCTTTACTTCACTTTCTCCCGTAGGACTCCTCCAAATCCTGTGAGTTTGCTATTATTGTACACAGTAACTGAGGCTCAGAGAGGCTAAGTGACTTATTCAAAATCACACAGTAAGTGGTGAAGCTGAAATTAAGGACCAGGCAGTCTGATCCCAAAGAGAAACTGGAAACCAAAGTCTGACCCTGTGTCCACCCAACTCTTATTCACCTTTGAGGTTGAGAGCCTGGCACCTGGGGTACGCCATGGTGCTCATGAGGGAAGGTGGGTGCGAAGGTCAGGTTTTGGAAGAAGTTGGTGTCTACATGTGTGTGAGGCTGTGGCTGGGTACCCCCTACCCCAGTGGAGAGGTCCAGCAGACTGGGGGATAGGATTCCAGGCAATGATTTGTGGAGTAGACTTGGCAATTGTCCCCATGAGGTCCCAGTTGAAGCCAGGGGCGTGGATGAGCTCTCTGAGTGAAAGGTGGAGGACTTAAGAAGACATGAGTGTGTGAGACCACCCCTAGAGATTCTAATTCTGCTGGGGTGGCACCCACGCAATGGTAATTTTAAAATCTTCCTCAAGTGATTCTAATGTGCAGCCAGGGTTGAAAACCATTGGATTGTAGGTAATGAGAAGAGGAGAAAGTAGAGGTCGAACCCTGGGCCTGCCCACAGGTGGGAACAGAAGGAACCGGAGAGGCTGGCAGAGAGGTGGGAGAACTGGGCTGGGAGCGCGGCCATCTCAGGAAAAACCGACAGCATCTGAGTCAAGAGGGTGAGGACCCAGAGTCAGGCACTTCATTAGGGCTGGCCTGTCCCCTTGTCGTTTGACTCTGGGTTGTGGACATTCACGCAGGTGGGCAGGAATGACTGGGGTATGGGGAGGTGAGGAACAGCAGGACGATAGACGGTTCTTTGAGGCTTTGGGCAGGGAAGTGAATGGGTGAGGAAGAAAGATGCAGGCTTGGAAGCTCAAGGGGTAGAAAGAAAGGGATCCAACCCAAAACACAGTGGGAGGACGTATCCTACCTGACTACTGATGACGTTACAGAACGACCATTCCTGATTGGGTGGCCGAAGGGAGGTGGGACTTAAAGAGGCTGCTCAACAATATTTGTTAAGCGCGCATGAGGTCCCAAGGTTGGTCTGGAACTGGTGTTCGGGCTCCAACCACATCCCCTTCTCGGCGCAGGTGGAGTTCTACTTCCTGTCCCAGTACGTGTCGGCGGCCGACTCACCGTTCCGCCACATCTTCCTGGGTCGCGGAGACCACACGCTGGGTGCCCTGGTGGACCACGTGCGGCTGCTGCGCTCGAGTGGCCCTGGGGCCCTTGGGGAGGAGGCCCAGGTGGCGCGGGGCCTGGGCTTCCAGGAGAGCCGCTTCCGGCGCCAGCTGGCCCTGCTCACCTGGACGCTGCAGGGGGCAGCCAACGCGCTGAGCGGGGACGTCTGGAACATCGATAACAACTTCTGAGGCCCGTGGGCTGGTGGGGTCGGGGCACATGCCCCTGACCCCTGCCGAGACCGCCTGCTCTCCCTTCGAGTGATTTCTGGGTGACCGAGATGCCTGTGCACCACCTCCCATTTCTGACTCATTTTTAGCCCTTACCGTACCTCCAAGGGCCCCAGCAACGACACCAGCGCAGACCCCCACACACCCCAGGCCCTGCAACGTAGGAGTAGGTGAGCAGTGCCTTCCGTAATGGGATGGTCATACTGTCAGCTAATCAGGGAGCAGCATCTGCTCTCTCAATCACAGCCCCTTCCTCTTCAGGAACAGGTCCCCCCTCTATAGCTAGAGACCGCTCTGGAAGGTTTCCTAGGCCCTGGGGCCTGGCCAGCCTTCTTGGTGGGAAAGATCCGCTGCGACCATAACTTTATGGCCAACCCATGTCCTGCAGTGGGAGGGGCTGGGGTTTGAACCTCAATAAACCACCTGTGGCATCTGTTGTTTACAGGCACTTTTATGCGTCTTCCTCACCCTCACCTCACCCAGTCATCCCTCCCTTGAGAGCTAGGGAAGGGTTGGGCAGAAGGGGCCAGAGAGGATGCAAGTGGGAATGCTGTCTCCATGGGTTAAAGAGCTGTTCCCATTACCTGAGGAACTAAGGAGACTGCCTGAGGAAGTAAGGAGGGTCCTTCTCCAAAGACCACCACGGGTGGGGGGCTGGCTCTGTACCTTCTCCTGGGACCAGGGACGGCTACATAATTTGCAAGACCTGGTACAAAATGAAAATGTGGGGCCTTCTGTTCAAAAAGCAAGATTTCCCTGGTGGTCTAGTGCTTAAGACTTCACACTCCCAGTGCAGGGGGTGTGGGTTCAATCCCTGGTCATGGAACTAAGATCCCGCATGTTATAAGGCACAGCCAAAAAAAAAAAAAAAAATTGCTTTTAAAAAGCAAGAACAAAGCTTTTTTCTTTCTTCCACAGTCTCTCAACCTGTCATGGTGGTTTTTAAGTTGTTATTTAATGTCCAGATCCCTGAGACAAGGAAATACTCTGGGGCAGATCCCCATAGGCACGCAGGGTTTTGCCCCATGACTTGCTATAGATAGCACATGTGCCCAACCCTGACCCAGACCCAGACCTGGACCCTCCGTGTGCCTGCATCCAGGTCCCTACTGGGGAAGGAGGGTGGCAGCTGTGGTTGGGTGGGGGCAGGGAGCCAACAGGTGAGAACCCATCCAGGGGAGGCAGGACCCCCAGCACATGCTCCACTGTCTCATCGGGCTACACTTCCAAAACACAAATTCAGAGGTGAAATCATTAAGAATTTCAAGATAGAGACCGCAGGGCACTAACCCCTAAGCACAGGGCCCCATTTGGAGCACAGAGCCCTGTAAGACTGCATTGATTACACAGCCATTATATTAGCCCAGCCTGGGACCTCTCTCGCCTCTTGGGTCCCCTTCGGCCAATTGCTGTCCACTGAGGTGGAAGCTGCAGGAGAGCAGGGAATTACAGGTGCTGCTGCCACCACTTTACCTTTAATCATGGTCTCAGGAGGCTATGGCCCTCGTTCTTCCCGGCAGCTGCGTAAATCCTAGGGTCCGCCTCTCAGGCTCCTGGTCCTCTCTTGCTCCCAGTATGGCGTGAGAGGTCCTAGCCTGCTCCTCAGGTGCTGGGAAGTGAAGGCTTCTTAGTTTATGGCTTGGGATGCTCCTGGGTTCCAAGATGAAACTGCATCCTCCTTACCTCCCTGAGTCGGACTTGGTGGGTTCTCAGGAGCCTGGACTAGGGGTCAGAAGCCTCCTCGACACCTTACTTCCCTGACATACTGTCCAGAACAAATTTCCCAAAGTTGTTTCTCAGCCCTTCTCCACCTTGTCCATTTGTTCCCTGTAGTAGACAGAATAAAGTTCTGGACAAAGATGTCCACATCCTAATACCCAGAATCTGTGAATGAACGTTACCTTATACGACAAAAAGGGCTTTGCAGAGGTGATTAAGTCAGGGATCTTGAAATAGGGAGTGTTTGGGGCTGAATTGTTTCCCCCCAAGTTCCTATGTTGAAACCCTAACCTCTAGTGCCTCAGAATGTGTTTGTGTTTGGAGATAGGGCCTCTAAAAAGGTGATTAAAGGACTTCCCTGGTGGCTCAGCGGCTGCCGATGCAGGGGACACGGGTTCAAGCCCTGGTCCAGGAAGATCCCACGTGCTGCGGAGCAACTAAGCCTGTGCGCCACAACTACTTAGCCTGTGCTCTAGAGCCTACAAGCCACAACTACTGAGCCCACGCACCACAACTACTGAAGCCCTTGTGCTCTAGGGCCTGCGTGCCACAACTACTCAGCCTGCATGCTGCAACTACTGAAGCCTGCACGCCTAGAGCCTGTGCTCCGCAGCAAGAGAAGCCACTGCAATGAGAAGCCCACGCTCCGCACCGAAGAGTAGCCCCCACTTGCCGCAACTAGAGAAAGCCCACGCGCAGCAACAAAAACCCAACGCAGCCAAAATTAAAAAAAAGAAGTGATTAGGTTAAAATGAGGCCATCAGAATGGGCCTAATCCAATCTGACTGACCTCCTTATAAGAAGAGGAAATTGGATGCACGGAGAGACACCAAGGATGTGCGTGCACAGGAGAAAGACCATGTGAGGACACAGTGAGAAGGGTGCCACCTGCAAGTCGAGGAGAGTGGTTTCAGGAAAAACCAAACCTGTCGGCGGCTTGTCTTGGACACTAGCCTCCAGAACTGTGATGAAATTAATTTCTGTTTTTGTTTTTGTTTTTTACCGTACGCGGGCCTCTCGCTGTTGTGGCCTCTCACTGTTGTGGCCTCTCCCGTTGCGGAGCACAGGCTCCGGACGCACAGGCTCAGCGGCCATGGCTCACGGGCCCAGCCGCTCCGCGGCATGTGGGATCCTCCCGGTCCAGGGCACGAACCCGTGTCCCCTGCATCGGCATGCGGACTCTCAACCACTGCGCCACCAGGGAAGCCCTAATTTCTGTTTTTTAAGCCACCAAGTCTGTGGCAGCCTTAGCAAAGTGACACAGGGTGATTATGCTGGGGGTGGGGGTGGGGGACGTAATCACCAGGGTCCTTATTTTTATTATTTATTTATTTATTTTGGGCTGCGTTGGGTCTTCGTTGCTGCGCACAGGCTTTCTCTAGTTGCAGCGAGCAGGGGCTACTCTTCGTTGTGGTGCATGGGCTCCTCATTGCGGTGGCTTCTCTTTGCTGTGGAGCACGGTCTCTAGGCGCATGGGCTTCAGTAGTTGTGGCGTGTGGGCTCAGTTGTTGTGGCGCACGGGCTTACTTGCTCCACGGCATGTGAGACCTTCCCGGACCAGGGCTCGAACCCGTGTCCACTGCATTGGCAGGCGGATGCTTAACCACTGCGCCACCAGGGAAGTCCCCAGGGTCCTTATTAAAGGAGGCAGGAGGATCAGAGATAGAGAAAGGAGATGTGACAACAGGAGCAAAGGGTCAGAGTCAGAGATTTGAAGATGCTACACTCCTGGCTTTTTTTTTTTTTTTAGTGACCTAAAACAGTGATCATTTGTTATTTCCACTCTTTAGCTTTAAAGATGGAGGAAGGGGTCACCACCCAAGGAGTGCAGATGGCTTCTAGAAACTCGAAAAGTCAAGGGAACATCCTCCCCAGGTGCCTCCAGAAGGAACCAGCCCTGCTGACACCTTGATTTCATCCCCAGAAGACTCATTTTGGAGTTCGGACCCCCAAAACCATAAGAGAATTAATTTATGTTGTTTTAAGCCACTAGTTTGTGATAACCTGTTACAGCAGCCACAGGAAACTAACACCCACCCGCTCCAATTACTGCCAGCTCAGTATTGTTTTCTAAGAAATTTACTTAAAAAAATGTCTGTGGGGCTTCACTGGTGGCGCAGTGGTTGAGAGTCCGCCTCCCGATGCAGGGGACACGGGTTCGTGCCCCGGTCCGGGAAGATCCCACAGGCCGCGGAGCGGCTGGGCCCGTGAGCCATGGCCGCTGAGCCTGCGCGTCCGGAGCCTGTGCTCCACAACGGGAGAGGCCACAACAGTGAGAGGCCCGCGTACCCCCCAAAAAAAAAAATGTCTGTGACCCAAGCCCCTCCCACCCCTATAGCTGCCCTTCATAGCTTTGTCTCAGAAAGCCTCCTGATCCCGCTGGCAGCAAGGCTGTTTCCCAGCAGATATCCACAAGATCATTAATGTGCGATACTTCAGATGCCTTTTGGGGTCCTGGGCACAGACAGCCCAGTGTGGATGGTTTTGTGAGGGGTTTGCTGGACCGCGGGGAGAGCCCTCACATCCTAGACACAGGCTGCCATTCTCTGCACAGGATCAGGCTCACATGTCACCGGGGCCAGTTCTGGGTGTGGGAAGGGCAAGGTCCCCAGGGCAGCTCCCAAGGCCCCCAAAGTAAAGCTGGAACAACTGATAACCTTCCAGCAGCATAACAGACTGAGTCTGTCTTAACGTTATCTTGCTAATTCTTGTTCCCAATCAACAAACTTCCAGTGTCTTTGGCTTCCCTTCTTCCTTTCCTCCCCTCTCACCTTACATCTGAAGGAGGGCTGGAAGCCTGCCTTTCAAGGAGCCCATTCTTTTCCTTTGCCCTAACTTCTCCTGCCTGGTTAGGCTGAGGTTATGGCAGGCAGTGCCATCTGTCCCCATCTTGTCAGAGACCTTGGTGTTTCTGACCCACAGGGGTTGAGGTCAAAGGAAGAGACAAAATAAAAGCAGGTAAACGGACAAAAAGGCAAAAGAGGATTCTGGGGGTGGGGGGGGAAGCCCCCAGGCAACCCTGGCAAGAGGCTCTGATGGCTCAAGATGGCGGGACCTGAGTTCTATAGCAGGTGGGAGTAGGTGGTATCGGGGTTTGTTTCTTTTTAGTTTAAGGCATGTTGGCTTAGGGGCAGGATCCTATCCCTAGGATAGGGCTAAGGGGGATCTTAAGAATCAACTTTCCCAATTCCCTCATTTTAGAGGCAGAAACTGAAGCTCAGGGAAATTCAATGACTTGCTCAAGGTCACACAGTTTTTTTCGGTGCAGCACCAAGCCTAAGACTCTGATCTTCTAAATCCTCACTGGGTCTCTTCGCTCCCCGATGTTCGAGGTCCCCTGGGAGTAGGAGGAACTGGAGGAGAGAAGTGGGAAGAAAGGGGCATGTTCCTTACATTTCTCAGTTCAATTTTACAAATTTATTTTATTCAGCTTGGAAAATGAATACAAATCCCTGGGTTTTGGGGGGAAGGGGACGGGCAGGAAGAAGGAAGTAGGAGTTGAGGCAAGGTTATGAGCATCACAGTGAATGTCTCACGTCCACGTCCAGGTCCACGTCCCTGCCTGGGGAGGGGGCGTGGAGGTTGAGCAGGGAGCTCAGGTCCGGAGGAACACCATGGTCAGGAGGCCTGGAGAGGGGAGGAAGAGCAAGGTCCTATGTGTAGCCCGCCGGCTCTGTACGCCCTCTTTCCAGCCCCCGCTGTCCTCTCTCCGGGCCCGGATCCCCTACCACCACCGTGCTCACCCAAGACGTAGGCTGCCACCAACTTCTGTCCCAGGGAGACGTGAAGGATTTGGGGCAGCTGGCTGCCAAGTTCATCCTGGAGCGGCAGCAGCAGGAAGGCCACAGAGACTGTGCCCATCAGCAAGAAGAGGAGGAAGGAGCTGGTGGCCAGGTGCGGGAGGGGGTCTGGGAAACAAGGCCCATCAGGATCTCCAGCCTCCACTCCTGCCCAGCCCAACGCCCTTCAGGGAGGAGGCTGAAGATGGAAGGTGTACCCACTTTCTGTTGGACATTGGAAGTGTCCTCTCCTCCCTGGAGCCTTCGTTCCCAAAGCCTCAGGAAACCCTCTCCCCTCTGGTCCCTCATCATTTGTTTTCTCTCCTCAACTCTGCCTTGATTACAGGCTCCTGTGTATCTGTGTGCCAGGCAGGGACCTCTGTCTCCCACAACTTGGTACATAATTGCTCAACCTGGTTTCTTATTATTTATTTATTTTTTATAAATTTATTTATTTATTTTTGGCTGCGTCAGGTCTTTGTTGCTGCGTGAGGGATTTCTCTAGTTGCGGTGAGTGGGGGCTACTCATTGCGGTGGCTTCTCTTGTTGTGAAGCACGGACTCTAGGTGCGCGCGCTTCAGTAGTTGTGGCACGTGGGCTCAGTAGCTGTGGTTCGCGGGCTCTAGAGCACAGGCTCAGTAGTTGTGGCGCACAGGCTTAGTTGCTCCGTGGCGTGTGGGAATCTCCCCAGATAAGGGATCGAACCCGTGGCCCCTGCATTGGTAGGCAGATTCTCAACCACTGCCACCAGGGAAGCCCCCGGTTTCTTACTGAACTGAACTGAGCTGACACATGATGGGAAGTACTGAAGTCAGAGCTAAAGGAAGAATTTTTCTCTTTAAGTGGAGGCCAGAAACCAAGGAAACTGCAAAGTCTGCTTTTTCCCTAACCTGATGTAAAATCTCAATTTCTAGAAATGTTTCCACCAAAAAGCAGAAAACTGAAACGGAAGGGAATTCCCTGGCGGTCCAGTGGTTAGGACTCCACTCTTTCACTGCCAGGACCCTGGATTTGATCCCTGGTTGGGGAACTAAGATCCCGCAAGCCACCAGGCACAGCCAAAAGAAAAAAAAAAAAAGGACTGAACCGGAAGACCTCTTCAACTCCAACTGAGCTCATCTCTAGGGTCATGCTAGGTCCTCCCTCCTTACAGAACTCAAGAATTCCCATCCCTAAACTCACTCTCTGGGAAGTGCTGAGCCGTGGGTGGTGCTGTCCAGGAAGGAGGCTCTGGGTGCGGCGTTGGGTCAGGCTGTCCCTGAAGCTCAAGGGGGTACGCTGGGGCCTTCAGAACCGAGGTGATGTCCTTGCGCCCCACCACTCGGCCGTCTGTTCCCTCCTCAGACAGCTCAATGCGGAAGCGGTCCTGGACGTCATAGTGGCTGGGATTGGGGGCCACGTGGCGAATCACACTGGTCCCAAGAAAGGAGAGCGGCCCATTGAAGGGCAGTGAGAGGCAGTGATCCAAGAGGATCCAGGCCCCACCCTCCCAGGAAACTTTCCCTTAGGGACACAGACAGAGGGTGGGGTAAACAGGTTGAAGAGGACCTGGTCTGAGGCTTAAGTCACGGCACAGTAAATCAGAGAAAGGTGGCAGCGACCCCTGGCTTCCATCAGCCTCCCCACCCTCTCAACTCACATGTCAATGCAGGACTGAGGCTTCACATATCCTTCCGCGTCAAACACTGTGTATTTGGCAGGTGCTGTGCACAGGACTGAGGCGGAAAGGCACACAGACAGAGACCGACTATTGCCTCAGACAACCTGCACAAGCCCCGCCCATGGAGTCCCCCCTGCCTTCTACCCCAGGGCTGGACATCCGACCGTACTCATCTGACTGCTCCAGCCCACCCAGCTCCCCAGTGTTCTACCGCCAGCCCCCAGATCCCTAGCACGAAGCGCCCATCCCCATCACCTCGGAAGCGAAGCGCTGCTCCCGTGGGGTTATAGAGGGTCAGCAGCTGCCGAGATCCACTCCGCTGGTCCGCCCTAAATACTAGATCCGGGGGAAAGACGAGGACCGGGACAACAGGTCCCGAGGGAGGAGGGGCGCCCCGGGACCCCCGCCCAGGAGCCCCCGGACCCACCAGCTCCTGGTCCTGGGGCGCCCCACGGCGCATGCAAGCTCTGGGCGGTGGAACATCCGAGGGCAGAGCTCAGGGGACAGGGCCTGGAGTATAAAGCCGAGGGGCGAGAGGGGCGAAAGGGAACGGGATGAGATCGTAGGTCAGGGCCTGGACTGATGCCGCCGCCGCCTCGGAATCCCCCTAGATGAGGGCCCCGCAGGCCAGGCCCAGGCCCCCCAAACCCTTGCTCTCCACAGCTGTGCCTCAGGTCCCTTTAGGCCCCGCCCCCAAGCCCTACCTCGAGGGTCACGCCCACCCCGTAAACCCAGCCCCTCCCGGCTCCCAGCCCTGGCCCTGGTCTTCAGCCCCAGTTCCCTATCTCCATAAGCCCCGCCCCTCCCCGCCCCTTCCGGGCCTCCCAGGGCACCCGCCCCTCTCTTCGGCCCAATTCCGCTGGCCTCCGCGCCCTCTTCCGGAGTTGCCCTTTCCGTCTCCTGCTCTCCCGAGACCTGTATCTGTGCCTCCGATCCCCCCCTGAGTTCGGGCCCGCGCTTCTTCGGGCTTCCGCCTCCGAACGGCCGCTCACGCTACGAAGCTCACCTCTGGTCACAGCACCTGCCAATCAACCTGTGGCCGGACCAGGGCTGCCATCTTCCCGGCAGACCGTTTCTGCTCTTCCGCCGTACGACCTCTGTCATTGGCCAGGGCGGCCTCGTTTCAGCTCTAAGTATACACCGATTGGTGCACCTAAAGAGGTGATTGGCTTGATCCCAGTGACGTAAAACTTTACGAGCGTCTCTGGCTAGAACGCTAATCCTGGAATAAGTCGGGCGGCGAGGTCGGGGGGAGGGGCCCGGGCGAGGATGGGAGTCAGGCATTGTTCCTTCCTCCCCACTCTGAGGCCGTCCAAATCACTAGAATCACATCCCACAAGGGAGCCCTCTTTCTCCACTTCAGTTCCAGGTTCTCCTAGACGCTTCCAAAGCAACGAAAGCCGTTTTCTGTAGTACGAGTTGGCGGTTGCTCCCAGTTGGACTCGGTTCGTAGCCCAGGGCACTTCTCTTGATTCCTTCCTGCACGGAACTCATATTTTAAATCACTCATATTTGCAGAGGGAATTAGTATTCAGAATCTTCAGCTCCCCTTACAGACGAGGAAACAGCCTCGACAAGGTGAGGAATCTCACGCATTTGGTTAGCAGCGGAGCAAAACAAAGTTACCTGAAAGCCTTCTCTAAGCACCCTATCAAATGTAGAATCTCCCTTTGCCTGTCCTCTTATCATGCTTTTGTTTTCTTCAGAGCACTCCTGGAGCTACTTGACATCATGTTTATTTTAGTTTATCTCTGCTCAGGTAGAATTTACTCTCCTGTCCACAAGAGCAGCGACTTTGTTTTGTGTATTTTCAGCACCGAAAACAGTGCCTGCCATTTGGAATGCACAAATGAATGGGTGACTAGGATGAACTTCTGAGCTGAGATCTCATTGAAGTTAGGAAGTGAGCCAGGAGATGTCTGTGGAAGAGAATTCCGGATAGAGGGAACAGCAAAGGCAAAGCCCGGAAGCAGGTGTGTACTAGAAATGGCCGAGGAGCCAGTGTGATGGAAGAGATTGTAAGGGAGACAATATTCAGAGATGAGATGAGGTGGGAGGGAGGACACAGATCACCTAGAGCCTTAGAGCCCACAGTAGGACTTTGGATTTTATGCTGAGACTGATGGGAAACTATGGAAGAGTTGTTTTAATTCCTTTTTTTTTTTTTTTTTCTTTTTGGCTGCCCCAGGCAGCTTGCAGGATCTTAGTTCCCCAACCAGGGATTGAACCCCAGCCTTCAGCAGGGAAAGTGCTGGACTGCCAGGGAATTCCCTTAATTTCTTTTTTTTTAAACAGCTTTATTGAGATATCTTTGACATATAAAAATTGTATATATTTAAGGTGTACAACTTGGTGTTTTGATATATGTAGACATTGTGAAAAGATCACCACAATCAAGCTAATTTACATATCCATCACCTCCACATAGTTAGCATTTTCTGTGTGTGTTGAGAATACGGGAGAATTTTGAGCAAAGGGGTGACAAGATTTGACTTACATTCTTCTGTATAGTAACTGTTGAGTTTAATGAATGAATGAAAACAAATCCCCAGAGGAGCACCAAAACCATACAAATGGACATGTGACCCCTTCCTCAAATCTAGAAACATTTATTTGGATAAGAAAGGGGTCCCTAGGGCCAGGGTCCGGAGGCTGGCCTGGGCTCAGGCTTGGGATCCAGCAGCCTGAACAGGCTTGGAGGGGCACCTCTTGCTGAGGTTGGTGAGGATCTGGTGCTGGGTGGGCCGGTAGAGAACCACGAAGCTCTCTGGAGGAAGGATCGGACCTCTGTTTTCTTCCACCTGGCCCATCAGCAGATAACTGATTCCTAGGGAAGAGGAGGAAGGGATTGAGAGTTTGTGTAACTGAGACCTTATAGATGTACCCCCTCATCCCAGTCCCTCAGATTCTACTGCCTCCATCATTTTCATGAGGCTAAGTCCCCCTCTACATTTTCCCACATCTCCGTTACCTTTCTTCATGGGGGGGGCACTGCTTGCAGGGCACATAGAACTTCAGGGAGGTGTCAGTGGGGGGAGAGGGCAGGTCCAGGCCTCCGGTTTTGTAAACACCAGTGAGACTGACAGTGACTGTGAGGCCCTCCCCTGGGCCCCGAACCATGGACTTCATCATTCCCGTCACCACTGTGGGAGAGAGAGGGAGAGGTGAGGAGACAGGAGGCCAGGGCAGGGCTGGAACCAGAAGGAGGGGGGCTTTGGGGACAGGAGGGGAGGTTAGAGGAGCTGGAAGGGCAGAGCTGGGGGATGGGGCTGCTTACCCAGGTCGCTGTTACAGAAGTGGCTCTGCAAGGTGCCTGCCCGCCGGCACTGTTTTGGGCAGGAGACAGTGGGTGCATCTGGTGGGGTGGGGAGGGGGGCACTGTTTGTGGAGGGTAACCTACCCAGCAGGTAGGAAGGACCACTTTCCCCACAAAAGCCTCATTGCTTTGAGCTTGTTCAGAGCTCTATCCAGCTTCGTGTCCCAGCACCCAGTACCAGCCATTAACACGGAGGCGGCACCCGTGGGTGCTGTATTGAATGAATGAATGAGCGCAGGAAGGAACTCGGATACAACTCCCTTCAGCCTGCGGCCGCTTCCTCTGCCTTCCCAGACTCACCGGGGCCCACCGGAGTTGCCTCTGCCTTAGGCGCGGCCTTCGGTTTCTCCTCAGGTGGGACTTCGGGCTTGACTTTGGGCCCGACTCCGGGCTTGGGGCCCGGGCCTGGCCCTCCTTCGGTGGCGCCCCGCGGCAGGGTCCTATAGGAGGCCGAGAAGCCGTCGGCCGTGACGCTGAGGTCCGAGACGAACTGGACGAGGAGCTCGTTGCCTTCGGAGGAGATGGGACTGCGGGCGCGGGGCATTGGGGGAGGTGTCAGGTGGGCAGCGCATCCTGCCCCCTACCCAGGCCGGCGGCCTTTTCACCTCTGCCCCTCGGTTGTCTGCGTTAGCTTCCCGATATAGCAAGCCCCTCTCGCCTCTCCATCCAATGACCCCAGGCCTGGCGTCAAGCCTCGTCTTCTGCCTGGGCCGCTACCCGCTCTGCCCACCCGTTTGGGGCCGGCAGGTTCGCCTCCTGCGACTTCAGCTCAGCCCCGCCCCTCCCACCAGCAGCGCTGTCCCCCCGCTCCCGCACTAGGCGCGGCGGAGACTCCCGGACGCCGTCACCCACCCAGGTGCCGCCCCCTCACCCCGGGGCTGTGTCGCCGCAGAACTTCCCCAGCCGCTTGGCGTCGTCGCTCACGGCGCCGTTGAACACGCTGACCGAATCGTAGCGGCAGTAGGAGTCGGGCTCCAGGTCAAACTTCCCGAAGGTCAGTGAGATCACCTGGCGGCGGGGCAGAGGCGGAGGCTGCGCGGTGGGACCCCGGGCAGCCGAGGGAGCGGAGCTCTCGCCTCTCACCTCCTCCGCCCGGCCGCCGCCTCCGGGACGCTCGCCGCGGCCTCCTCGCTCACCTCCCGCGTGCCCTCCAGCCCCCCTCTTAATGCATTCACACCACAGCTAGGAGGAACACACACATCCACGGGGGCCCTGCAGTGGCCTCGGTTGCCGTAGTCCGCAAGGTCAAGTCCTGGCTCATTCTCAAGGAACAGACCCAGAATCCACCTCCACCGCCACTACACACACACCCACACCCTGCCACACACACACGCACAAATCAGTTTATATATGAGCATCGGGTACCTCGCTCTCGTAAGGTTCGTCACAGTCGTAATTTGACATTTTTTGTTTGGGTGCAAGCAGGTCTGGGTCTGTTTTTGCTGCCCACCATGCAAGCTCAGTGCTCGGGACATTGTAGATGTTCAATAAATCTTTGCAGGCTGCATACTGGAGGACGCCGCCTGGGTCCCCGAGGGCAGCCCGGGCAGGGGGTCAGTACCTGGTCCGGGGGCGCGATGATGTGCCAGGAACAGCTGATGCCCGGGGGGTAATCGGACTCGGGCCAGTTGGGCGTGGTCAGGGTTCCCTGGGCCTTCTCCAGCCGCCCCCCGCAAAATTGGTGCTCTGGGGAGGGGAGAGAGGAGTGGGGGTGGGGGGCGGTGGAGACCCTCGGTCAGCTGGAGGAGAACTCTAGGCTGGGAGCCCGTGCAGAAAGCTCAGATGTCTGGGTCTCGGGATGATGGGGCGAGAAGAGAGGGAGGAAGAAGGGGGGTAGGTTAGCAGAGATGGGGCTCGGAGGAGCGGGGCTCCGGGAGGTCTTGGACCGCGGAGGGGTAAGTCTTGGACCGCCGGGCACCCAGGCGGGCGGTGGTAGGGGGAGGAGGAATTGACTGGACACGCTCCCTTCTTGCCCCTCCCCCTGACCCGAGGCCACATCGCGAAGCCACATCGCGAGGCCACATCGCTCCTCTTCCCCTGGAAGATCCCATCTCCCCGGCCCGGCAGAAAAGTCCCCGTCGCAGCTGGAGAGTCCCCATGTTATGAGGGTACCCTCAAATTGGGGCACAGCCCCGAGGCTCCTTTGGGGAGGTCCCTCCTTAAACATTTTAGGAGAGACTTCTGCCGCCAGGAGGAGGTGATGGGACCGCAATCGGGAGCCCCCGGGCTGGGTGTAGGGGGCTCCGGGTCGGGGGAACCTAGTCCCCCAGCCCGGGGGTGCCCCCTCGCGCCCGTCTGAGGGAGCCCGATTGCGGACGGGGGCGGGCAGTTACTCACCGTCCCAGTAACCCCAGGCCGCCCATTCCACCCGCGGGTCGGTGACCCATTTCCGCCTCGCGCCTGGGCGGGGGCCTGGAAGAGGGGGGGGTGGGAGCGGGAAGGAGGGGAGAGAAGACGGGGAGGAGGGACTGAAGGGGCGGTTAGTGAGGAAAAAGGGTAAGGGAGATAATGGGGGTCCCAGGCTCTTGGGGTGGAGGTTAAGGCTGGGGTGGGGCCTGCGCCGGGGGCGGGGCCAGGAGAGGGGGACGGCGGAGGTGAGGGAGGTCTCACCAGTGCCTGAGGTGGCCCGCCCGCTGTACCAGAGCAGGAAGCCTCGTCCTCCCGTGCCCTCGTCCGATGTCATCCTCAGGGTCACCTGGTTGCCGGGAGCGACTAAGGGTGCTGGCCGGAAGGTCCCGCAGAAGCGTCCGAGCCGCTGGCCTGAGGTTCCAGGCCCGGCAAAGACCTCCAGAGCGTCATAACGGCAGGATGGGTGCAGCTCCAGGTCAAAGACTCGGAAGGAGAGGGACACAGTCTGGCCCTCAGGGACCTGATGGTGGGGACAGGGTCGGGGACCTGCAAAGTCAGGCCGGACACAACCAGGCAGAGGGGACTCTTTTTCCCCAAGCATTTCCTACAGAAACTGGGCCTGAAGCAGAGGGGACCCCATCAGGATGCAGAGCAGAGGGCTTGTGGCTTGTGCAGGGGACAAGACCTGAGGTCTGTGGAGAGACCAGAGGGGATGGGGATGAAGGTGGGAATGGAGAAGCAGGCTCTGAGTTAAGGTGTGAGGATGCTTGCCACGTGTTACTGTGGGCACTGATGCTGTCAGTGACCAGAGGGGAGGGGGCTGGGACTTCCCCAGGGAGAAGCGGCGGTGCTTGCCGGGAGGGGGGTTCCCTTAGCAGTCTGGCCTCTGGCTGCCTGGACCCAGGCCTCGGGGAGACTTGGACAAGGGGACGGCGGCCAGAGGGGCCTTCTCACCGTTATCGTCCAGACGCACTCCTTATTGGCGGGGTAGAGGTTAGGGAAACCCTCGCTTGCCAGGTAACCCGACTCCCCAGTCACATCCCCTCCACACAGGAACACAGGTCTGCAGAACAGAAGAGAGGTCAGGCCTGAGTGGGGCAGTAGTGCAGGGACTGGGGTAGGGCAATAAGCATGGGGGTGCCAAAAGGGCAGCCAGCGGGATGAGGGAGGGAGGCCCAAGGGACTCGAGGCGGCCTCAGCCAGCGGGGATGAGACTGGGGTGGGAAATACTCCAGCAGGGAATCAGGAAAAAGTGGGACCAGCAACTTGGCTGTCCCTCCAGCCCCTCAGAGTTCCCACCCCCACCCCAGCAGGAATTCCCGGAATCCTCCTCGGCCCCCCTCCATCATTCTCCCCCCTCGCCCTGCCTGGCAGTCAGGGCCTGGAGCGGCCTAACTACTTCCAGATGTGGACACAGCCTCGAGGTGGGGGGGTGAGGGGGCGGGGAGATGAGGGAGAAGCAGCAGCCAGGGCCTTGCGCTCCCAACCTTTGCCCTGCTCCGGCTCCAGCTAACTACTGCAGTGACTGACTCCCACGTCTCCCACTTGCAGCCCCCTCTTCCCCCGCCAGTCTCTGATTCCCTCCTGGAATCCAGATGTACAGCTACCAGGCAAGTTCAAGGTCTTGGTGCTCTCAGGTTCCATGGTGGGGCCAAGGGTCTGGATAGGTGGGGAGACTTAGAGGGCAGAGGACAGAGGGTGGAGGAGTGGGGAGCAGTGGTGACCGCATGAGACAGTGCTCTTGCAGCAGGGAAGGAGGACTTGGGGGCCAGAGAAGGGTGAGGGCTGTGGGAGATCTGCGCGGGTGGTGTGTTAGCAAAAGAATCTACAAGCTCCACAGGCATAGCCCCCCAGGAATCAGGGATCTGAAGTTAACTCAAGCCATCTGGAAGGTGCCGAGAGACCTACCTGGTGTAGTTGGGGCTCTGGCCCTGGGTGAAAGGCAGCAGCAGAGCCCAGGCAGTGAGGAGGGGCCCCAAGAGGGAGGCTGTGGTAGTAGGCAGCATGGCCCGAGGGAGAGGCACTGGAGTCCTCAAGACAGAGGCAGCTGAGTGTAGCAGCAGCGGCGGCGCAGCAGCAGCGGGGATAATCAGTGCCAGATGAGGCAGCCTTGGGCGTGTGGGCGTGGGGACTGGCCAGTGGGGCGGGCGGCGGGGAAGGCGGGACAGGGAGAGAAGAGCCGGGACAGTGGCGATTCCAGGGGCCTCTCTAGGTCCAGGACACATAAATACTGACCCAGTGTGGGAGCGGGGGTGGAGCAATGAAGGGCAGAGGGAGCATCAGACTCTCAGCATAATCCAGGCAGTCTAGTAACGTCATCTCCAAGCCCACTCTGTCCAGTGCCCGAGCATCCTTCCAACACAGCCTCGGGTCCTTCCTGAGGACTCTCCAGCCCACCTGTGATCCTCCCCATTCCTGCTTCCTCAGCACCCAGAGGAAGTCCTTCCCTGGACTCCCAACCTCTAATCACTTACCCACTTCCTGACCACCCTCTGCTCCAGTTTATTTTCCACTTCAAATGTCTACTGTCCTCTCCATACCCGGGCCAGACTAGGCCACGGAGGAAGAATTCTGCTCACCCATCTTCTCTCCCAAATATTTGGAGGTATGGGTGGGGGCAGGGAGGCATGCTCTGTGGGTAAAGGGAGTGTCTTCCTTATTGAGGAAGAGGAGGATGGAGTAGAAAGTAAGGGAAAGGACAACATGTGAGATCAGATCTGGAAGGGAAACAGGAGGAGGAGGCGGGTGGGGGGGTTGGCTTCACAGGGATGAAGGGAAATGGGTAGGAAGCATCCTGAACTCAGAGGAAGCGCCTTTCTCAGCCTGATGGACGGAGGATCCAAGTGATGGAACCAAGTAGGCATCGGGTCTTGGCGTTGGAGGGAGAAGGAAGCTGAAGGATCCAGGTGCTGTCAGCTCTGCAGCAACTGACAGCCTGGGCTGCGTCCACTCTGCCTGCCCACCCCTCCCCCCGCACCCCACCCCGCATTCCTCCCAGGCCCCAGGGTTACAAACCGGGCCTCAATCAGCCTTTTATTCTATTTGTCCATCAAATCTTTTGTCCATCTCAGGTTGGGGGCCCCTCCTGGGCAGCTCCCTGAACATTTTACAAAACAGTCCCACCCTGACATGTCTAGCAGGCTCTAGCCCACTGCATCCCCCTCCCCACGCGCAGCATTCGTTGCTGTCATTCCACCTCTCCTTAGCCCCCGGCCCAGGGCCAGACCCTCCCTCCAGGGGTGAGACCAGGAGAGGGGGGTCAGCTGTCAGGGGTTGGGGGGCCTTGGCCAACCCCTCCAAAAGCCCTCTGCAGCATGTCCAGGGCCTCCCAGAAGAAATCCTCCTGTGTAGCCATCAAGGGCATCCAGCCCACGATCACCTTCGTCGTTTCCATGCATTCCTGCAATGTGGGGCAGCTGTGGATCTGGCCGAGGTACGGCTCACAGGCCTGGGCCGCCACCACCTCAGGGTCCTGGGCTGCTTCGGCCCCCAGGCTGGGCTTGGGGGTCCCCACCACCCTGCTGGCTGGTAGGTCCCGGTAGGTGGGATGGTGCTCGATGTCATGGCCGGACAGCATGTAGAGGCACTCTCTGGTAGGACAGAGGGAGCTGGCATACAAAGGGACCTTGGAGGAGAGACAGAGGGGGAGTGGCTGAGTGGGGCCCCAGGAAGGGGTTCCCAGGAAGCCCCAGCTGTTGTGTTTGTCCTGCTCAGACCAGCCCTGAGCCAGCAAGTGAGCTGGCTGGCTGAGCCCCAAGGTTGTGTGAGGTAGGAGCAGGCCAGCAGGGGCAGCTCAGGGAGAGAGCCAGGAGCCATGGTACGTGGCAGGAAAGGACGGTGGGTGGTGCTGGAAGATGGGGTCCCTGGGTCCCTGTGGGAGCCCCAGCTACAGTCCTGTGGGCTCTACTGCTCTGGCCCTCCCTGGATGCCCGCTCCCTGGACCCTGCTCTGACCTTGATGTGGAGCTTAACGAAGGAGGCACTTCCCCTAGGCCAGCCTGGCAGGCGGCCTCTGGCCCCACATCCACAGCCCAGCAGCTCCTTGCTGAAGTCTGAGCGCTGGCTCAGCACCAGGGAGTGGTTGAGGCCACACCACAGGGCGACGGGGCGCTGCTGCAGATAACGTACCTGAGAACACAGGGCAGGGTCCCTAAGTGGGGAACACCAAGGCACCGTGGGGAGGGGCCGGGTTGGAGAAGGGTGACAGCTTCCCCTAGGGAAGCTAGGGGGAGGGAGGAGGTGGGCCCCAGAGTACCCTCCCCCTCCCCAACGAGGTCCGCCCTGCCGACTGCAGACTGGCAGCTATCACTCCTCCTTGGTTCTCCTGCAGCCCCAGTCTGACCACAGGGGCGCTAGCACGGCTGTTGGTTCCTCCTCTCGGCTCCCTGGAAAACAGGCCTCTTGCCTGAGGCCAGGGCCTGCTATCTGCTCCCTGATCTCATCCCCCAGGCCTGGGCCTGTCCAGTCTCTCATTCTGCCTTCCAGCCTCGGGGGAGGAAGAGCCTTCCTCCCTGTCCCTGTGTAGTTCCAGGTTAGGCCCCTGGAAGGACCTGCCTCCCACTGCGTCCTTCCTTCCGTCTCTAGCATTTTCAGTCCATCATATCTTTATCTTTCAAAATGGCCACTCTTTTGGAAAAACATTTCCACCTGATTTCTGCTGCTTCCTACCTCCGTCTTTTAGGCAGTAGGACTGGCTACGTGATCAGTCTGAAGTGGACCACATTCTTGGTCTCACCACAGCCAGTCTCGCCTGAGACTCCCCACTCCCCAATACACTATGACTCCTCTCCAAAGGCACTGGACCTCCCAGCAGCCAAATCCCAGGGCCTCTCCTGCACGCTTGCTCCCGAGACTGTGAGCGCTTTACTTTTGAAGACATAGATAAGTGATTTCACGGCCATTACAGGAAAATTGTAAAATACTGGCAAGCAAAAATTCATTTAAAAATCACTGGAAGCCCCACCACCCACTATTAACATCTTGCTGCATATTCCTCCTCACTGTTGCCTCAGCAAATATATATACGCAAGTTGTATATTTTTAAACCAAGATGGGATTGTGCTGTGTAAACCATTTCACGAATTTTTTTTCACTGAGAAATATTGCATAGCCATCCTTCCATGTCAGGGAGCATATTCCTTCACTATCACTGTCACCACCCCCTCCTGGGTGAAACTTTCTGTGCCCGTGGCCTGTGAGACGTGGCATTTGAGGGTGTGTCTCTCTCTCAGAGACAACTCTTTCAGTCCCTCCACCCACAATCATGGCGACCACCCAGCTTTGCCCCTCTGCCTCTACTTGTGTCATTTCAACCTTGTTCCAACTTGGAATCCAGCTAGACATTTCTACTTTAGTGTTTTACTCTCACTGCAAAGAAAAAGCCTAAATTCACATTCTCTCCTCAAACCAGCATTCCTTGCCCACTGGCATGTTTACCATGTCTATTGCCAGAGCCACCTTTGTCCTACCCCACTGTCCTCATATCTAGTCAGTTTCCAGAGACTGTTCATTTTCTTTCACTACACCTCACGTCTCCATTCCTCTCTGTTCCCGCCGCCACTGTACCAGCCCCAGTCCCCTGTCTCAAATGCTGGTGTCATTCAGCAGCCTCCCGGTGGGCCTCTCACTGTGCCCTCTGGCCACGTGACCCATTCTCCATCATCCAGGGGGTTGCCTTCTCCTGCTCCAGAACCCGCAACGGCTCGTTCCCAAATCGATACTTCTGTAGGCTCACAAACACCTATACCACCTCGTAGCTACTGTGTTCCAAAACACACTCTGCTCTGGTCAGGCCGGGCCTTCCACTGTCCCAGGGATGTGCAAGCTTCGTCCCCATCCCCATTACATAGGATGCCTTTCCCTGTACCCACCCGAATCCTATCTAACCCACTAGGCCCTGCTTACATCTCACCTCTTAGAGTTACTTCAGCCCACCCAGGTCTCCCTGCTTCACTAAACTCCTACTGCACTTGTAGCATGAGCCACACAGAATGCACCTCGTGGTGCCAACCCCAGGTGAGATACAGTAGCACAGGCATTACAAACTGGTTGGCTTAACATCCTAGGGAGTAGAAAGTGGATTCTATGGAAAGTAGAGATGTGGAGAGATCCAGGGGTCAGGGAATTAGAGGAAGGGGGGCAAGATGAGAGTAGCTGGGAAGCAATCTCACCTGTGTGGGTTCCCCTCGGTCCATTTTGTCCCCGGTTCCCAGCTGCCCATATCTGTTACTTCCCTGCATAAAGATTCGGCCAAATTCATCCACCAGGCCAAGGTGATTGTAGCCAAGAGCACAGAATAGGACCTGGGAGGTAAGGGAGAAAGGAGAAGTGGGCCTTCAGTCGTCTCCAGGGGAACTCTGAGCTCCAGTATCTCACAACTGCTAACCTGCCACACCCAGCTGATCGCTTTTGGTCTTGCCCTCTAGGTCACCCCTCTCCCTGGGTCCCTTGTCGCTCCCTGATCAATCATTTGATTCCTGCTCCTGTTTCAGACCTTCAGTACCTTGCGGGCCCCCTAAGGCCCCGCCCCCACTGGTCTGCCCCCAACCCCCAGCCCAGGATACTACCTTGGCAGGCAGTGAGATCGGAAGCGGCATCTGCTGGTACGTGGGGTCAAAGGCTTCAAGGGTTCCAAAGAGATCTCGATACACCCCTGGGGTATGCACCTCAAAATACACTCCCCCCTGGTCTGGGGGGTTGGGAGCCCTCAGCTCAGCAGCTCTGGGCACCCATTTCCTAGGGAGCAGGCCCTACTTGGGATGAAAGAGGTAAGATCTGGGGAGTCTCACGCCCACTAGAAATGCACCAGCTATGATGTCTGGGAGCTTAAACACCTCTTTTGACTAGGATGCTCTACGGGTCCCCCACAGAGCTGGAGTAAGGATAAGGGAGGGTTCTGTATCTGGAAGGTCTGTCCAAGGCTGGGGTCTGGAGAAGAAGGGAGGTGGCTCTTACCCGTAATGTAGAGAGTACTTCCCTGGTTGGAAGCCATGCAGGCCACACGCAGGTGAGGGAGGTCATGGGACACCTTCCTCAAGGTCAGCTGACCTGTATAGGAGTGTGGCTGGTCCAGCTGGGCTTCATTCACTACCAAAGAGTAGATCTTTCCTTCCTCTGGGGGAGGGGGCGGGGAGGCAAACAACTGTGTGGGGGAGGGGACCCTCCAATAACCACATTAACCTCCCAAGAGACTCCCTAAGCCATACAGCATGAGACATTTGCTGCCCTAGAGTGGGGCTGGAAGGAAAAGGGTAGAGATGAAATAAGGGGGCAGTGATCTCAAGTACCCCAGCCTCCAGCCTTCACCACCGAAAATCAACCAGGGGAGCTCTTCAGTGTGAGGGATGAGTGCAGAGAAAACCGAGCAGTTGGATTTGGCGGAATCCAATTTGAGTGTTGGGAAGAATGATGTCTGGGGGTTCAGGGCCCTGCCTAGCATTAAGAAGTTCAGAAGCGGGGAATTCCCTGGCGGTCCAAAGTTTCCACTGCAGGGGTCCTGAAGAAGCTTCAGGAAACAGTTTGCAAACCACTGCTCTAAGCCTCACCTGTGAGGAGCAGCAGGGTCCGCTGGGTCTCCAGACCAACCAGCGCCATCTGTTTGAAGCTCATGGCGTGGTGGAAGGTGATCTTGAAGACCCGCTGCCCGCTGGACTGCAGGTAGACCTCAACACAGTCGCAGGACTGGCTGTGGGCTGTGTCCACCACTCCCGGCTGCTCCCGAGTGGCCAACACATAGAGGTATTTACGGTAAATTGTGTCACCTCTCGGGTCCGAGGCAAACTGTAGGAAAAGACAAAGGTGTCCAGGATCTCCAGCCTTGCAGTGGGATGAGGCTGGGGCAGCTGGATCCTGGGGTGGGAGATGAGATACTTGGGTCCAGGGCTGGGAAAGGCGAACTTGGTTTCCAGTTCCTGGTATCGGAGGGCGGCTGTCCTAAGGGTGCCACCTCAGGACTGGTGTGGGCCCTGGGTTCCCGGAAAAGAGGTGGGGTCTCAGCTGCTGGGGTCCTTGTACTCACATCCTTGGCTCCGTGACACAACACAACATAGCAGCAGGCCCGCTTCTGGCCAAGGGTGGAGGAGACCAGGGCATTTTTCAGGAAGAAGATGGTCCCCGTGTAATCAAGAATGAAGACGTGGTCCTTGGTGGGCAAGAAGCGGCGGTAGCCATGGGCCAGCACAGGGGCTACACTCTTGCTGAGACAGCGGCGGCGGCCCCCAAATGCCTGGAAATACAGGCCCTTCGTGTCTGCAGAAGGGAAGGAGAGGGAGGTTTAAGGGGTCGGGGAGGCACAAGGGAGATGAAACAGAGCTTGGGAAAGCTAGATTTCTCAATGGATGGGTGTTTAGCTCCTCTCCATCCCCAGGCCTGGGGAAAGACCCCTTCCAAAGGGCACGTGGAAAGCTCAGAAGATATCTGAAATTATGCCCCATGTCTGAACTAAAGTTCTCTGCCCCACCTCAGCCCAGGGCCACACACATGCTTCTAAGTGAGCACTTCTTTGGTCCAAACTTGCATCAGAGACATCAAAGGAAATATAAGAATGCATAGAAAAGCAGAAAGAGGTGTGAAAAGGAATGACTGGGAAAGGCCAGTAACCCTTCCACACCCCTAGCTCTGGATCTGCTATCTGCATCTCCCTTCATCTCCGTTGCGTGAGACGAAGTTATTGGATAGGGGCTCCCTGGGAAGGGAGGGGACTAGAGCATATTTCTCAACCTGGGGGTGATTTTTGTCCTTCGGGGGACATTGGCTGTCAGAACTGGGGGAGGTGCTACTGGCGTCTAGTGGGTAGAGGCCAGGGATGTTGCTAAACATCCTACCATGCAAAGGACAGCACCTGCCCCCTGCAAAGAATTATTTGGCTCAAAGTTTTAATAGTGACAAGGTTGAAAAATCCTGGTTTAGAGGAGGGAAAACTCCAGGTTTTGGGAGAGGAGGATGTCTCAAGGTAAGATATGGAAGAGCTTGAATATGGTGGGCAACTTGGCAGGGATGCTAGGAATGGGGGCTCTGGGTGACAATGTCTGTCCGAGAGCAGCTTTAGAGACTTGGAGTAAGTCCTTGTTGGAGTATGTTTAAATCTAACAAGTTTCTTCCAGAGAAAGGAGCCCTGGAAGGTTGGCTGGGAATACTGAGGTCATCAGGCAATTTTATGGAGTAGGAGGGATCCCAGAATAAGGTAGGACAGAAGCAGAGAGAACTAGAGGTTCCCGGGAAGGTGTACAGTTCAGAATCGCAGCTCTCTTCCAGGGCTGGACCCCAGAACCCTGCTCTTGAAGTCGAGGACTGAGCCGGTGACAGATGCGTCTCCACACGCCCTCAGAGTCGCACACTTCGTGGAAGTAGTGGCAGGTCTGACCTAGAGAGACTACATCTCTGACTGGGAGGAATGAAATGATGTGCTCCACCTGTGGGGGCAGGAGGGGGAAAGCAGGGGTCATGCGGGCCCCTCAGCGGCCCCCAGTCCTTTATTCTCAGCACCAACCCGCCCCCCCAAGGACTCACCAGCTCTGGGGGGAACAACTGAATAGATACAGGGTTTCCTCTCTCCTTCTTCTCTTCACCCCCAGGCTCTGGTCCACATGAAGGGCAGCTCCGCTTCACCTACCCAAGGAGAAGGGGGTGCACAGGGGTTCCATGAGGGTCATGCCTCTTCCTTCTGTTAACTACTTATTAACCACTACCTTGGGGGCTCTGGGCTGTCAAATCCTCCCATCTTTCTCTCTAGGTCCGTGGGTTTACCCTTCCTTGTCTGCCTTGTTCCCTGTCCAACTTCTCCACATAACCCCTCCCCGATCTCTGGCTGCCATCTTGCGGCCTTTGCTTCGCCCCCTGCCCCCTCACCCTGAGCCCCTCCTCCGGTCTGCAGAGCCCGGTGACTTTTGGCAGCTTTCGTTTCTGGCTTCTCCTCACCATCCTGACTGCCCCCTCACTGCTCCTGCCCTCAAATCTCTGGGCCCCTTGGCCTCTTGTACTCAGCTCCCTGGCCTTTGTCCCTGCTGCCTTTCCCACACCATGCCCCCTGCCTGGGCTTGGGGAACCTCTGGGGCCGCTTTGCCTCCTAGGCCCCTCCCCTATGTAGTCCGGGTCAGACAAACCTCTCTGTGACCTCACCACCCAGCCACTGTGACCTATTTCCCCCAACCTTGCCCGGGATTTTCTCTCTTAGCTCCTTGGCTCTAGCCCAGTTCTAGCCACCCAGTGGCTCATGGGATATGCACAGGACAGGAGCAATAAAGTGTGAACTACTGGTAGACGAGGCCTTTACTTTCAGGGAGTAGTAGGAGGTTTTTCCACTTGATACCCGTTTAGCACTAAGTGTAGAGAGACACTGGTGAATTCTTCATATCTCGGCAGTCCAGAGCCTCCAGGGGATTTGTAGCTCAAGGATATAAACTCAAAAAAAAGAAAAAAAAAAAGGTATAAACTGTTTGACAGGTGAGGGGGCAAGGTGACCCTGCTAATTAGACCATCTATCTCGTGAAAGCAGGCATCACATGAAAGTGGGCACAGCTGAGCACAGACTCAGGCAAAACACATCCAAAAGCGGACTGCTTTCCTGGGACAGTAACATGACTGCATGTGTGAAGGGCAACCTCTTAAGGTGGAAGAAAGGGATGGATTTACTCTGAAAGCTTAGGTTATCTCCCGAAGTCTAAGCTATTAACTTACTCTTACGGCGGGGGCGGGGTGGGGGGTGGGGGGTGGGGAGAGGGATGACATGGATGAGAAACAGCAGGAGCTGGGGCTGTGTCTGTCCACATAGGGGCAGAGGATCTACACCAATCCATCCAAGGGGTAGCTGGCTCTCCCATGAACTGAGGAATCCAGGCCTGGACAACCAACCCTCAGCTGCATAGTATTACAGACTCATTTGTTTTCCGTGTTAGCTAAAAGACGGTCAACCATCCAATCAAACTCCCTTATTCAGAGGGACTAGTAAACAGCTCGTTTGGGACACGTAGGATGGAATTTTAATAATTCGATAAACGTTTCGGAATGTCAACGTGTGAGATGTGACTTATGGGAAAGAACCTTCAGCTATTTGTGGCTTGGCAACTATTAACCAATGAAGTGGATTATATTAGGTCCTATGCCACCTAACAGGATGCTAAGATCTCTCAGCAGACGGAGCATGTATCTGCAGCTTCCTCTTGTAACTGGGTCCCGTTGATCCACTCCATTTCACCTCGGGAGGCAAAGAAGAGGGAACGAACAGAAAAAAGTCCACCGCAAAAGCTGACGCAGGGGGAAGCCTGGCTTCTAGTGTGAGCGTTCAGTAACCTGCTGTTTGCTCTTGACAGCTCATCGACTTCCCTCCGCCTCCGTTTCCTCATTTGTAAAACGGAGGACTTCTTCTAGGTGGGGTGGTCCCTTCTAGACTAACCCCCCAGGTCTGATCATCACAATTCCTGCCCAGGCGCGCTCCTTTGGGCAGGGGTGTAGGCCGGGCGGTATTTTCGAGGCCTTCCCGGTCTCCCTTTAACCCTCCCTCGAGGCGTTGAGATGGGCCTTTCCAGCCCCTGGGAAGCCACAGGTTCGCCCGGACTCCGAAGCTTGTCGCGGGGCCTCGGTCTCCGCAGCCAGAATGGCATCCAAGGTCCCTTCGGCTGCAACGACCCCCTGTACACTAGCCTCAGGCATCACCTTGCCTCCCGCTCCCCCCATCCCTACGGTCGCCCTGGCGCCCGCAAAGCTGGCTCGCTCCCTAACACGTCTAGCTCGCACACACTACTGCAATCCCTGCACTGCTTCCAGCCAGCCCAGCGTGCCGCACTCACATTCTTTACCTCAACCTCAAAGTTCTAGCTCACCCATCTCCTCCTTAGCGAAGGGACAGACTTCTCGCCCATGCTATTGGTAGGTAGAGCAGTCCCTCAGAGAAGAGGCCGGGCCAGGTTCCCTCTGGAGGGTCTAATTGGCCTTCTTTACAGTCACTCGCCTGTATCTGGCTTGCGATTGGTTTTCGTTGGAAGAGGACCAGGGTTTGCGTTTCTCGGCCTCTATCCCTTCTAGTGGAGGGCCGACGTCCCCGCCTCCTGATTGGACCTGATTGGCTCCATCTCCACTCCTAAGATTTGTGATTGGATGCGGCTGCGCGGGGCGGGCCGGCCTGGAGAGTAGGCCGTTGGCGAGCACTCTATTCTAGTCCCCCTCCCTTCTCTCGCCTCTCTTCAGCGCCGGCGTCTCCACCCCGCCGGCGGGTTCTGATTAGCCACTTCCGACGCGTCTCGGGATCCCGATTGGTCCGTCGGGTCCCTGAGCCCGCTTCCTCCCCCTGGAAGCGACTACGGCGGCTCCGAGGAGGGGGAGGGGCAAGGAGGGACGGCCGGTCCCGTCAGTCAGGCAGCGGGAGCCGCCGGGAGCGGATGGCGGCGGCGGTAGCGGCCTCTCTCGCCGCCGGGGGTGAGGAGGCGGCGGCCACGACCTCCGTTCCAGGGTCTCCGGGTCTGCCCGGGAGCCGCAGTGCAGAGCGGGCTCTAGAGGAGGCCGTGGCCACCGGGACCCTGAACCTGTCTAACCGGCGTTTGAAGCACTTCCCCCGGGGCGCGGCCCGCAGCTACGACCTGTCAGACATCACCCAGGCTGGTGAGTGCACCCGGCTCCGAGCCCGGCCGGGACCCTCATTTGCATAGCCCCGCCCCTCGCTTGTTTCTTCCCGGGCCCGGGAGTCTGGCCCGCCCCATCACCTGGCCGTCGGAGTTCTAGATTCTGCTGATTTGCATAAGTCTGCTACCACCCCCTCCCCACCTTAAGAACTACTAGACAATGAGCGCTTTTCTGGTTTGCACGGAACGCTCAAGAATCTCTGGCCGAGCGTCGTGAGCGCCCCCCTACCCCGCCCCGCTTCTCTTTATTTGCATATCTGCGCACCTGTAGAATGGTCCTGGCCCTCACCTGCTTGGCTCATTTGCGTGATCTCTTCAACCTCAGTTCTGATCGTTCCATAAAGCAGCCCTCACGAGCCCCCCCCCCATGACTCCTTTCTCTTTTTCCACTTAGTCTCCAACTCTTTCCCCCGTTCCACCAAAGATAAGAGCAGCCCCAGGCCCCCGCTTCCATGGGTTTGCCCCTGACCGCCCCAAGTTTCTGTTTCCTTTGCTTGTAGTCCCGCCCCCTAAGGCCGCTGACTCTCTCCATTCTTCCCCCAGCCAGCCTGTGGGAAAAAAGCAAATCTCCCACCTCCCCCAACTCTTTTCTCCGCGAGCTCTTCCTCCTATTATCCCTGACTCCTTTATCTGCGACTCCTCCTCCTTCTTGCGTGTGTGAGGTCACTGTGGAGCCTGTGATCTCACAGAGACCCTAGAATTCCCATTTCAGTTTCTGCTTTCCCCACGGGGGAGGGACTTGAGGCAGCTGCTTGAAAGGAAGGAAATCTTATCTCCCAGCTAGGAGTGCTGGGAAGCTAGAGACGGTCCAACTGTCCTTCCTAGTCCCCCACCCACAGGGTCCCTCTAATCATGCTCCCTCCACCCTGGTGTCTGTTGATGGTAGGGTGCAGGGACTCCACTGTGACAAGTGAGTCAGGCCTCAGCTGCTCAGGAGGCAAACTCTGACCTTAGGCTGGCAGCTGGGGGGTGGGGATTGGAAGAGGGGTGGAGGACTGCATTCCCAAAGCCCCACCCCAGCCGAGCCCAGGGTGGGACTTGGGGCTGGATGAGAGTGTCCGCCTGATGACACTGCCCTGGGACTGCACTGCCCCCCTAGCAGGTGCCTGCTCACCTGCAAACACTCTAGTGGGCGCCGATGCACACTCTTTCCTCGACTGTTCTGGAGAGAACCAGTTGAAACCACTCCCCTTGTTTTGGGTTGCTAGGTAAACTCACTCGCCCACTCTTCGGCGAATGAGTTCAGGGCAGCCGGGAGCCACTGCTGTCCCTCTCAGTCTCCCCGAGCCGCCTAACCCCCCAGCTCCAGACTGACCTCAGCAGCTGTGTGACACTTGCCGTCTGTTCCCTTTCCCCTCCCCCTTGCTTGTTTTTTGACAAAGACCAAATGTTATTCTTTACTTCCTTAGGGCTCTGTCTGTGTGAGTGGACTCCTGGGGAAAACTCCCAAGACCTCCTGGGCCCCCTCCCAGCTCCCACCCCCTCTCCGCCTCCTCCCCCAGCATTCCGGCTCAGGGTGCAGCCCGTTCTCCAGGGCAAGCGGGACAATCCCAGCTTCCTGAGAACCCCTCTCTACCCTGCTCTCCACACAGGAATCCTCAGTCCTTTCAGGGCCCAGGTTCTAGGCCAGGTGGGTCTCTCTCGTCCAGAACTCTCTCCTCCGGCCCCTCTCCCCAAGCAGGGTGCCTGTAGCTTGGGGTGGAAAGAGGAAGTGACAGGAACCCAATCTGTTGCCCATACCCTGCTCTCCACACTTCCTTGCCCTTCAACCCTGACGGACTAAAAACTTCAGCTCTGCTGACTGAATCTTGTGGAACCTCTCCTCCTGCTTCCGCAGCTCTTTCTGAACCAGCGTTTTCCTTGCACGTGTGCTGTGGCGCAGGTCCCTGCTGTCCCTTGGACTCGGTCCCCGGGCCCCGATAGTAGGATGAATCCTGAGGTGGGGGGAAGGGCTGCTCTCACAAAAGAGAAGTGCAGCTCATTCTCTCGCAGACCGCATCCTGTGCCTCCTGTGCACCGCTCCTCCAGCCCCGCTCCCTTCCGCTCACTCGCTCTGAGCTTTTGCCCCCGCTCCCTGGCCCGCCCCAATACAGCTTGCCCTCCACCCCCCTCATCCACATGCGCGTGCAGCACACACATTTGTGGATGCAGAGGAAGTGGGCAGGTGGAGGGGGAGGGCGGGAGGGCTGCATCTCATCCTCCCACCCTCTCTGGAACTGTCTTCTCCTGTGACAGGTCTTTTTTCTGTGCACACCAGGGCTGGGAGCAGAGAGGGTTCCTGGGGCGTCAGGCTGTCGTCCGCCCTGGTAAATACAGGGCCCAGAGACAGAACCTGACAGGTTATTTCTACTTCATTTCCTGTCACAAGACTCATTTCCTTGAGGGATATACCCCCGCTTCCCCTCCCCTCGGCTTTTGCTTGCGCCTCCATGGAGAGGGCCCTCTAAGAAGCTCACCCAAGCTCTGTTCCCTGGGACTTTCCCAGCAGGCCCTGGGCCTCTCCCAATACAGGCTGGACAGAGGGAGCAGAGACCCGGGCTTGTAGCAGTCTAAG